AATAAAAAGAAGAAAATATATTTATCTAATGCGATCCAAGACGAACAATATTATGATCAATTTATTTAACAAAAATATTTCACGATACCTTTGATGCACCTATATGAGATACAATATGTATGTGGGCATTATATTCTTATTTATAACAAAAACAATAACAAATGTACAGTGCATTATAATTTTTATTGCTATAATCTTTGTTTTTCAAATTCAATAACGCTAGAAAACTGAAATATACACCTACGTGTAATATATTATATCTTCTTTTTCCTTTATATCAAAAATACATATCCAAATCTGATTAACAAAATATAGTAAATAATATCTACACGACTGTCATAATTATTGCACAACAGCAACAATTTTGCAATAGTTTGATGGCAATATTAACTATATAGAACTATTGTACCATGGAGTGTCTTTTAAAGTACTTAAATGGTTTAATTTCTTCTATTTTCACTTTACTCTTCCCATGATGAACCGTAAATCTATTAAACAATAATGTCGATGGGTTATCATCCATGGCATTAGTAGTTAAAGCAGAAAGGAACAAAATGCTATACACCTCAATATATTCTAAAACAAATATTATTCTGACTTCCTTTCTTTCTATTAACAGTAAATATAAAATCCGAGTAAGAGTATATATTAGACAATCGTTTAATATCCAAACAACCACAAACAACGCACAATAGCAATAATTAAGTTGTGCTTTAGTGGTGAAGAGAATTCCTGAAGAATTTAATGTACTGCATTACTTCTATGCTTTTCCAATTTTGAAAATATTAATCCTTCTAATATTCCTAATATTCTTCTAACATTTACTATAAAATACACTCCTACAGGATCGGCAATATTTCTAAATCGTGTATTAATTCCTTGTATTGTTTTCTTACTACAACAAATTGCATTTCTGTATTTTAATGATGAAAAAGAAGAAAAAATAAATGTCAATACACAATAAAATATGATTTGACAAAGTGGTTAATTTATCTAATGCGGTCCCTAGGTGGGGAATATATTGCAAAAAATAACTTTAGTATACAATAATGACTAATTACATTATTAGTTATAACACAAAATAACAAAAAGGTGAGTATTTAATTTTTTAAATTCTGTAATGTAACACAGTGGTAATCTATGATACATCTGGGTATATTCTAAAACAAAACTTCGTCTTTTTTCCCTATATACCTATTAACAATAAATACAAAATCCTGATTGAGAGAATATACTTCGAGTGGTCTTAATATCCAGTATTATTGCACAATAGGAATGATTGTGCAACTTATATAATATCGACCATCTAGGAACCGCTAAAAATTGATTCAAATGTCAAAAACAGTGTGTTTTAAGAGGAATCAAACTTATATGTAGGTCTGGTGAGTGTCAGAATACCAAACTTAAAACAAATGGCTGTTTTATTCATCTCAACTAAATAAAACGATTATTTACTGTTCAATTGTAGGCACTAGTAGTTTTGAACGTTTTTTAAACACTCAGACTACCAAATAATTGACTAACATGCTAATAAATAATAAATTTTAACTTAAAAATAAAAAAATACATAAATAGAAAAATAATGAACTAATGTTAAAACAATATTGTTCTCAAATTATTTCATGGTGACTTCTCAACTTATATCAAATATTCTGTTAGGAATAAGCCATAAATGATCAAATAAATTATTTACTTAATAATTTGCTCCCACTTATATGGCAATATAAGTAATATAGGTTCGTATTAGGTAGAAACTATCTTATAACTCTTAATATCATCAATTTGTCAGTTAAAATTGGTTTAGTACTATTGATTACAATATTTAAATGAAAAATTACGTAAAAATCATTCATTATGCTCATTATTTTTCAAAATATTTACCTCGTAACCATCTAATTCAGTTAATACATTATTTAAGTTAAAAAAATTTAACATTAACATTCATAAAAACATTAAATACTCTATTTTCTAACATTTACTATAAAATACACTCCTACAGGATCTGCACGAACTGCCAACTTATACCACTTAAGTATAACAGATTTGGAGATAATACGGTTTAGCTGACAGCTGTGAAACCCTGTCAATAAATATTTAATATTTAACAAGAGAATGTGGTTACCCGCAACACGTTAATAAAATAAAATAAGTAGGTAAATCAAAGTAAATATAAAAAGTATATTAAGATTGTTAATTTTCGTACTGTCTTGTCTAAAATTATGTAAAATGTGATCAGTACTACTTTTAACAGAAGAATTGCTAATACGTTTCACAGAATGAACGGTCTAAAAAGTTTTATACAGATATAATATCTACTCCACTGAATTATTTGATAAGTCTATGCTTGCACCAAAGCCCCCAAAGGTGAAAAACTTTAACATTTGAAAGAAAATTTTATTTGCGCAAACGTAGAAGAGTTTGCTTGTGTGCTACAACCAATAATATTATCATTCGCTCGACAACTCTTTGTGAGTATTAGCTTGTTCTATGATTTTCTGCCGTTCTGATCTGTTCCTTGTTTTGTTTTTTCCAGTTGACAATCTTAGTTGACCATCTCTAGAGATTTCAGATCATGTGCCATATAATGATATTTCATTCTCCTTCAACCTTTCGACATTATAAATGTTATGGTATCCTACAATCATAGGAAACAAATTATTAGTTTAGACAAGTACGGGTTAGTTCTATGGCTTTAAAAATACGAATAACATTTTGTTCCAAACGGAATCCTTCTAGTCATCCTTTTATTGCAAGTTGCTTATAGCATATTATATTCAGTGCAAGTGGTTTAATATATTCATCAAATATATTTCACCATTTTATAGAAAAAGTATTGGAGACCAGTTTTGATTTAAAGGTGGAATGATCACAACATAGCCTGTTTTCTCTCTAAGTAATATTGCAAAATGCCATGATCAATTGCATTTCAAAAATGCATTCGATCGCGTAAATGATCATAAAAGTCAAATCCTCTGCGGAACATAACTTGGATAATAAAGATCTAGGATTGTAATAAAGAACGTGTTAACAGTAATTCTCATTAATAGCCGAACGAACACGATAATGGTCGATGAGATCGAACTACCAGATCGATAAAGACCATTCTTCTTTCACCTCTGGGTAAAGTACTTAAGTTACTGGCGTGAATGTCACCAACAATTCATTTTCGACTCTGGGTATGTTGAGTACTTGAGATATCGTGAACAACAGCCCATTTTTATCTTGAAAAGCTGTATATAATTATCCTAAAATATAAAGATGAACTCACATAAGAGTTGTCCAATCAAGAGACGATCCAAACTGGGAAAACGAACTACTGATAGTACAACTACATTGCTTTTAATTTCATCTTCATTTGATAATAAATTAGATATTTGTTGTTTAATTGATGCTACAAAAGGGCTAACAATCATTTTAGGAAAAGCTAAGACATGGAAAAAGATGATTATACCAAAAAAGTACGATTAACGAAAAACCCATCTAATAAGAATCCAGTAGAAGAACATAAACATCTCTATAAAGATTTTAAGTTCCGTGTGAGGATAAATGAGAATATTTTATGAATCTTGTTGTTGTTTGTTTGGGTTTATATGACCGCGGACAGACCTATTTTATGAATGGACAATACTATTCCAGTATAAAACTTTACAGAACTCCGTCGATATTCAATTACAAGATTAATGAGTACTCAGTCTATGTACTATCTAAAGAAAATGCAAAAATAATAACGTTGAAATAACGAATATAGAGGTAATACACAATATCAGATCTTCATTTTTAATATTTCGAAATATATTTTTCTGCGTACTTATTAAACTTTTTTCTGCGTACGTTTAACATGTCATATAACATATGCTCAATTATAACAATTTGTTTTATAATAAATATCAATTTTAGTTAAACGAATTCGAGAATTATTGAAAATTTAGCACAGTAACATTGATACATTTAATTAAAATAAAAAGCTAAAGCTACATTCATATTTGCCATTTAGATGTAACTACTACAAGAGTTCTGCAAAAATTGGACGATATTTAAACAGGGTGATCAAATAATAACCGATAAAGTTAAAAGTACAGCTCACCTACTGTAACGTGACTCCTGACAAGCCTCTCCAGCCAGTCACGCAGAAAATTCCTATTATAAGTATTACTTTGACTGTTTTTGAAGCTTTAAATAAAATCCCTAGAGACTGGAAGGACCAATGTATAAATTCTAAGTATATTTTCGAATATAATATAATTTGAATATAAATGCGAATGCCATAGTCCGAAGTTCTCGATCGACGATGTGAAATAATTCTCAAAGTCGCAGAGTAAATGTTTTATTGATAGCTTCCAAATTAGAGTACACTCGACTTAAACTCAAGAAATGCCTTGAAGAAGATCTCTATCGAGATAAATATTCTGACAACCCATTAAAAAGAGTCCAACCCCAAGTTATAAGCTCATAAATGAAACTATAATTCATTAAAAAAGTCATTGTATTGCCTTGTGACTTGTACGTTGAACCGAGTTGCTTCGAACTATGGAAATTACTGCAAAAGAATTTAGCAACTGATCCCATTCTATCGGAAGGTAAATAAACTCGTGATTAAAGGATAATCTACTATCATTTAAATAGGTAAAAAATTATATAGCTATATGGTACGTCAAGATTAATGTTAGATTACAAATTAAGGGTTTAATTTGTGATTAACAACTTTGATTTGAGCAATCAAGAGGCAGTATGTTCAGTAATTATTTAAATATAACAGTACACTGCAAATAATTTTTATCGGATCAACCTAGAGAAATTAAGTTTTTAAATATATGTATGTAGAAAGAAAACAGGAGTTCAAGTTGTAAGGTTGCACCAGATGTGTCAGAAAGCAGTAGTGTTTGAAGAAGTTTTTATAATTTTTATTTCTTTTTCCAAATACTTCGTCTTGTGTACAGTGACCTACACTTAGACCAGATACGATTTCTTTCACCCGCCACGATACAATAGGTTAGCTGTGTTTATACTTTATAGAAACTATCAAAAAATGGTCACTTTGATAGAGATGTTTGGTACAATATAATAGTTCCAATTGTAATGTTCAATGACTAACAAATATACACGAACTTATCTTTTTTCATCGATTATAAGTTTCTGTAAACATTAGACTTGGCGCAGTCTATAGGATAAGAGAGGAAGATACCAAAATCCTCTGATATTCCGACAGTATCATCACACGTGGAAAAATAAATATTATTTATAACGACTACTAAATAAATTCAGACTAAACGGCACGAAAAAGATGAGTTTACTGCACTGTATGTATAATATCAGTACGCCATTTCGAGAATCGAATTTGATTCTAAAGATTGTTAATCTTTTGATTAATATGATGTACACCCTGTTTGCGTCTTTCTTCAACCCCTTTCGACTAGTTACCCTACGACGTAAGGCAAGATTAAAGGCCACGTTTTTATACAAAATCACAATTATTTTAAATAATTATTGCTAAATGTCATAGTACATTGCACTTCGTACGGGTTCTTCTTCAGTGCCCACATCTCCGTTGATGGCATCGTAGTAGACGGTGGACGTTGACATCATGGAATCCCTCTTCTTTTTCACTAAAATAAATAAAATCATAAGTACGTATTATTATTGTGTTAGATATAAGATAAAAAATATACAATGTTGATTCTTCCTGTACTTATTCTAATTCTAACAAAACTCATAATAATGTCATTAAAGAAATGAGTGCTATATAAGCATCGGATGTTTAGGCAGTTGCATATATAAATGAATTTTGGGTTTTTTTCTGTCAATAAATGAATATTTTACAAATTTCTATACTATTTTGTCACACACACGGTCACATATTTCGCAAAACATACAAAACCTGTCTAGTTACTAAAACAGTTTACAAATGCAATTAGGTAGGAAACTACTTTGATTTCCAAGAAGAGATACAATCGTAGAATATTCTGTGCTCTATGTTGCATAAATAATTGAATCGTTTATTGTTGAAAGGGGATAAGCGCCATATTCTACTGTTTTGAGTTATAGTACAAATCATTATCTCTTTATATATACGCATTATTTGGTGTTGAAAGGAAGCACGCTCTATGCATTGCATGGATATAATTTATACTTCGAAGCTACATTTAGTGTAGAAAGATGTCGCTAGACCCTTTAAATAACAATAATAATCGATTTAATTATTGTAGGTTACATATTATTGTTGTGAAAATTGAAAATTCCCTTATCTGAATAGTTTGCTGTTTCTTCTTTTTCAAGTACCATGTTCATTAAGGAGATTAATTATTCGTAGCTAAGCGGTGGAGGCCATAAAACGAAAAAAGAAGAAGAGATTAATTATTACAAATGATTGACAGGCGTTTACTGAAGGTTAGTCTACTGGATTACAATTTCCAGCTGGTAAAGGTCATCATTTGCTTCCTCATATTGGAGGAGATAAAGAATTGTTGATCAATGTTCTTCTTCTTCTTCTTTTGTATGTGGTTTAAGTTGTTCTTTCAAATTATTGCCTCCTAATTGTTTAAATTATCCACAATTTTTCTTGGTCTGTCAATACTTCTTCGTCCATTTGGTGACTTATCTCGTGCTATTCGTACTATCCTAGCCAATGCCATTTTATTAATGTGTTCGTTCCACTCCTGTTTCCGTTTTGTCACCCATCCATTTATGTCTTCTATATTGCATGCTCTTCTTATGTTTTCGCTTCTCCCCCTATCCAACAGAGTTTTCCCTGATATTCGTGGGAGTATTCTCATCTTTGTTGTTTTTAATAGTCGTCTCGTTTTAGATGTGTGAGGTCTTGTCTCCGTCGTGTATGCTAATATAGGTCTAATTGCTGCTTTATACAGTCTTGTTTTTGTGTCTTGTCTTAGGTATTTGTTCTTCCAGGGGGATCCCGCTCGCTTTACTTGCTTTTAAGCTTTATTGCCGTACTTCTTCTTCAACATCTCCGTAACTAGTTATATCTATTCCCAGATATCTAAACCTTGCTTCCTGCGTTATTATTTTCCCATCAATTTCGATGTTACATCGTAGTGGGTATTTAGATTATGTCATACATTTGGTTTTATCTGGTGATATTATCACATTATATCTCTTGGCCGTTGTATTGAAGATATATTCTGATGTTTTCGCTTTTTTCCCTATCCAACAGACTTTTCTCTGATATTTGTCGGAGGATTTTCATCTCTGTTGTTTCTCGTCTCATTTTAGATGTGTCAGGTCTTGTCTCCGCCGTATATTAGTTAATATAGGTCTAATTGCTGCTTTATAGATTCTTGTTTTGTGTATTGTGTTTGGTTTGATTTGTTCTTCCAGATTATGTCATTAAGAGATTTCGCCGCTTTACTTGCTTTTAAGCTTTGTTGTCGTACTTCTTCTTCAACATCTCCGTAACTAGTTATATCTATTCTCAGATATCCAAATCTTGTGTCCTGATTTATTATTTTCCCATTAATTTCGATTTTACATCGTAGTGGATATTTAGATGTGTCATACTTTTCTACTAGAAGTAGACGTTTTCGAATAATATAGATAAATTATGTAAAGAATCTTAATGTTTGTTTGCAATATTAACTAAAAGCTTTCATATTTATTCAGTTTCATATTTATTGAAATGCCATAAGCTAAATAAATAAATACATTACCTTTATTAAGAACAGCTTAATGTTAGTTTTATTTTATTTAACTTACCTACCTAACCAAATTCACGAATTTATTCATGAACTATAAAAAAATTACGTTTTAAGCACCTTTTTTAAATAACGTTATTTGCGTCCCTTTTTATAGCTATAACTAAGTTGTATTCGTATATAATAAAGCCAGCCCTATGTTATTAAAGCAGTTTGTACAATATAAAGCGAGTTTGCCCGATATAATGATCACCTTACCAAAATTACTACCACAAAAAACAGTTAAAGTATATTGGGCATTACATTGAAATGTGGAATGCCTGTTTGGGGGTCAATTTTTGATTCCGGTAATGTGCTTGCGCTGCTGTCTAAAAAAATTTAAACGTTTCCTTAAATAATCAAATAATATTAAACAATAAAAAAAAATTACATATATAGTGTTCTCTCCAGGTAACACAAGAAAAGTGCACAAAATAGTAAAAATACGATGCATCAATAATGTTCTGGAATACTTAAATTGATAATATTTCTTGGTTTTTCACTTAAGAATTCATAAGGAATTGCCTATATAACTCTTTGAATTCTCATCTTTGACTTCTGTGAAAGAACACAAGGTTCTTTCACAGAAGTCGTCTTAAATGTATTCATTCTTAATTTGGTAAAAAATACTATTTCTATCTTGATTAACAAGATATCAACAATTCGATTGTATATTGCTTAACACATTCAGATCTTCAGCTGTTGCAAATACAATTATAAACAAGGAATCTAAAAAAGAGAGACAAAGAAGACCACAAACAACATTGTCATTATATTTATTGTGCCAACAAAATGCAGAAAACTACATAAGTCTTATGGTGGATGATTAATATTGATCTGGGTGGTATTTGCATTGGAGCACGTAGGGACCTGCATGTTGTACAAACCAGATCCTTGACTACAATGCAGGATACCAATCGATGCTCTTGGAACATATTGGTATGTCCTTCGCCCCATATATTGGAGAAAATATTCTTTTAATGTATGAACTATAGTGTATTTTTATGTATGAGAGAGTAATAAAACAATAAATTATGTATGCAAATCCCTAAACTGTTGATACGGGTGACTCAATGAAAAACAGATATTTGTCAACAAGTTTACAGAAGTATATAGGAAAACAATTTTAAATTGAGTATGACCACCAGGTATAAAGGTTGGAGCAGAATAGAATACAATAGTTGTGAGGGTTACTAATCCCTAAATAAGGTTGCCAGTGTCGGAGTGATGGAGGTTAACAGGTACTAATGAATTTGCAAGAAATGTAAGATGTTTATTTTATTGGTTATATATAACCAATAAAAGTATTAATAAGTACCTACCTATTTGCAAAATAAAGTTTAATTCTTTAGATAAAATAAAAACGTTTTATTTTATCTGAAATGAGTGCATTCCACGAAGTAAGGGTTTCAACAATCAAACATTTAATTCTTTAATTCCAGGAATCTACGACAGTAATTGACTAGATAATTACCTTCTAAACTTATTCCACAGAAAATGTGATAGTGGGTTTTTCCATTTTGTAGGAAGGTCCAAGTGGCGTATTCAAAATTCTTAACAGTTCACTAAAAGTAGGTACTTCAGTTGCAAGGTGCAGTTTATTGTGTATACTAGTGTTATGGAAAATTTGGAAGTGCCGTGTAAACGCCGAAAAATTGGTCCTTTAACAGTTAATGAAAAAACATTAATATTTAATTGTTTTAAATCATTTACAGACAAACGTTTATGTGATGTGAAGTGTTGATGAGACCGTTGAGTTAGTTAGCAGTACACTTGGTGTTGGGAAATCTACGATTTACAGAGTTATTAAAGAAGAGAAATGTGGTAGTTTTCAAATGCCACGTAATGCTCCAGGGAAACCAAAATTTCAAATAGAATATCATTTTAAAGAAGGACTTCGACGAGAAAGTGCATGAATTCTTCTTTAGACAAGAATTTCCAACATTGGATAAAGTTCTTGTCTCAGTTCGAGATGATAAGGATTACCCAGAAATGAGTCGAAGTACGTTATGGAAACTTTTAAAAGAAATAGGATTCCGCTGGAAAAAGAATCACAGAAAGTCTATTTTATTAGAAAGAAGCGATATTGTCATATGGAGGAGACATTTTCTAAGAACATAAAGGAAATGAGAAACAAAAAAAAAATATTTTATCTTGATGAAACATGGATCAACGAGGGTCATACACCAAATAAATTTTAGCAGTATGAAACTGTTACAAGTCAAAGGCACGCTTTTGTAAATAACTTATCTACTGGTTTAAACCCACCATCAGGAAAGCGACGCAGGCTGATAATAGTACACATTGGCAGTTCAGACGGTTTTGTTGAAGGTGGTTTATTAACTTTTGAATCAACTCGTACCGGTGACTACCATGAAGACATGAACGCTGATGTCTTACAAGAATGGTTCGAACAAATGATAGATCTTCTTCCTAAGAACGTGTGTAATAGTAATGGATAATGCAAGTTATCACTCCAGACTTATAGAAGGACTGCCCACAACCAAGTGGTTTAAAAAAAGACTTGCAGAATTGGCTGAGTTCAAAAAATTACGACATCGGATTAAAAAGACTTATTCTTGTAGAAAGAAACATTTAAAAAATACGAAATTGATGAAATTGCCAAAAATCGTGGAATGACAGTACTTAGATCCCCACCATATCATTGTGAATTAAACCCGATTGAACTGGTATGGGCACAGATAAAGAGTGAAGTTTCAAGAAAAAATACCACTTTTAAAATTCATGATGTTAAACAGTTGTTTTTGGAGGCCGTAAATAATGTAAAACCTGAAAACTGGGAAAAGGCAGTAAATCACACTATTAAAGAAGAGGAAAAAATGTGGAAGCTGGACAATATTACTGATAAAATGATCGAGCCAGTTATTATAAATCTTGGTTCTGAAAGTTCATCTTCTGAATCTGATTTGGATTTGTAACAAGTAGCTGTAAGTTTTATATTAATATTTTTATTCATCTATTTAACATACCTTAGACGGTTTTAAAAACTCTTTTTCTCTTTTGTAATTTTAATAATTAAAAAAAAATGTGAATTTTTTAAAACCCTTTTTAATGTAGGCCAGTCAGTTCTAATATAGTGTGTGATAAAAGAGGTCACTTTTGTTTACATACACATAACACTTTATAACACTGAAATAATTCATTTATTTTTTACAATTATTCAAAGTAATTTTTCAATTAATCTTGAGCACGCCCATGGAGTGGTCGGAGATACCAGTTAAAATTATGCTAATTACTCTCTCGTTCATAAACATAAACTATAGTCATTTCCACACTAAAGCAATCTTTTGGAGCTATATTTTTAAGATGAAGTGACTAATCGTTCACGATACTGAACCACGAGAGTATATATTTGGGAACTAAAAAAAATTTTAAGAATACAGTATGTTGCAAGATCTCAGACGTGCTCTGATAGAAGAAAGTGTTTTAATTCCAGAAAAGTTTTATTGATGGCTTAATGAAAAGTAGTCTTAGACGAATGTAATCAATTTCGACAGCAATAAGTGGAAACACTTTATATACAGTATTTCCTTCAGTTCATTGCACCTCATTCAAATTTGACATTCACATTGTCACAGAGTTACTAAAGAATGTAGGGAATTATGTAATGATGAAATTGTTAGGTTGTTATTATTATAAATTCAGAGAACTATAATGAAGACTTTATTGTATCAAATTTAAATAAGAAAACCATCTGGTAATTGGCAAACTATTAGGAATGATTACCATTTTACTATATTCTAAAGCTATGGTGATATTTATTAATTATATAGTAATATCGTTCAATATTATACAGCAGAACATATTACATTCAGATAAAGTTGGTTGCCTATATTCAGGTTCTTCCACATTAATTTGTTTTTTGATTTTTTTCATGGGAATTTCCAATTGATAAACAATTGGCTACACTGTGACGACGTAGAAATATCATTGATGACGTGCCATGCACTTGCATACGTGGAAATATTGCATACTAAGTTTGTCATACATTTAAAAAAATCAGCCGCGTTAGTATGAATATTCCTTAAAAATATCGTATTTCGCTGATTACTAATTAGTTTACTCTTCTTTAAAAGGGTTAATTTTATTCACCAATATACCACTTGATACCATAATTTTGTTCACCAATTCACCAAACCACAATAAACACAAATAAAAATATTGTCAATCTAATTTATCCCTTTTTTTGAGTTGTTAAATCAAATTCTTATGATTTGGAGCCAAGTTATTAGCCTTAACGTCTTTTAAATTCTACATATTTTATATTTACTCATCCTTTTACCTTGGCACCTACATTTCAAATGACTCCTGATTTCGATCTTTAAACGTCAAAGTTTTCGTTCTTGTCCTATGCTATGGGTAAAAATGTTTAAATTATCTAGATAATCAGCTGTTACTTGATGACATTCATGGAAACAAATCAGGTGTATATTTCCTATATTATTTCAAATTCCTTTGAAATTATTTTGCTTATTCCCTATACTAACTTAATGTCATCTTCACTTCCTTAATTTCAGTTTTCTTTTCTTTATCTGTATATTTTCCTTCCTAAATCTTGGCTTCTGCAGGTGACAGTACAAATATATAATTTTTTTGTCTCGTACTTACTTTCTGTTTATGGTTCCTTTCATTTATGTTTATATATAATACTCCCTTCGATCATAATTTGTTAAAAAATATTTACCACTTCTGATTTTCAATCGTTTACCGATATTTTAGTGCTGCGTATTCACAAGTTTGTTAGTTTCTGCATGTATTTTTATTCTAATAGCACTATAGTAATGTAAAAGAGTACTTGCCATTGTTTTATTGACAGTGACAAGTGACATCGAAACTGTAAAGGTTGCCGAATCCATAGACTATTTCCCTCAAATTTTTACTTTTATTGTCAGAAATATAGAGCCAAACAACAACTCAGTTGTAGTAGGTCGTGAAAATTAGTCAACTTGATTGATTCATTGATTAATTAATATCACTTCCATATAATGATATATAAATAACAAGAAAGAGTTTTATATTGATATTTTAAGCTTGAAATTAAAACTGGTCATTTTAATTCGTTTTAGTTTTTATTTGTATCCTATAATTTAGAATGTTGATCATATTGTATGATTATCTTCTACGATTTGATATTTCCATCCACATATCCAGCTTCCATATCTTTATTTCAGTTTATTCTAATATTTTCTCTCTTTGTTAATTCTCCCCTTGTCTTTCGACGTAAACAAACCATTTCAACTTTTATTCTCGTACATTTTTTTATCTGACTTCTGAGCAATCTATTGAAGAACAATGTTATTGGATTTAAGAGATTCCATAATAAAATCATCGACGATAAAAGTTAAATAAAAAAAGACATGCTGTAAAAACCGTGGTTATTCCAACACCACCCTGGAAACCGTTTTACCACAAAATAACCAAAATACATCTATAAAAACCAAAGTTAACACTTACTGGATGCTTTTCTTTGTCTCGCCCTTTGTGTTTCATTGTGAATGATTATTTCATTAGTTCTGTAGGCTTCTCTCTTGATTCTGTCGTTCAGCTTCCTGCTGATGTCCGGTATCATCCATTGGACAGCTGTCATCACAAAGCTTACCAAGTTCTGGTAAGCCACGATGAAGGCTAGACGTGCTGCCAGGATGTGCCAGTAGATGAGAGGTCTTTTGTACCGGGTTTCGTCGTCGAAGCTGTAGTGGTTTCTGTATTCGTTGTACCTGTAAAATAAATAAGATGAAAATTAAGACGAAAGTTTTTCGTTAAATTATAAAAGATCAATCAAACAATGCAAAAGCCAGTTACTCCGTTCCCATGTTCTACGCTCCTCTGTCGTACGTTAGTGCCTCGTCTACAGTAAATTTAACTTCAAGCTACGGACGATGGAAACAAATGCACGCTGGAAACACGCGTTTGTTCAGGGCCGGACTAGTAAATTAAAGCTGCAATACAAAACCTTATATAATTTGTAGACGTCTGACAGGTACAGATTATAGTACACCAATTTTTTAAATATAAAAATGATTTACAAAGTCGAGAGTTATTAACAACAAAATAAAGTATACAACAAAAAGTTTATAAAATTACCGTATTTTATCTTAACTTTCAGAATCTGATGTACTGCTGTCATCATTAAAGTTGATAATGATAGGCTCAATTTGTGCCTCAATTAAATTGTCCAACTCCCACATTTTTGGCTCCACTTCTTCTTTTACATGTTTGACGCAGTTTTTCCATGGTTACAGCAGACACAGCTTCATGAAATAAATTTTTAATGTCAGCAAATTTAAATGTTGTGTTATGCCATGCTACATAATTCTTGACTTCCGCCCATACAAGCTCGATTGGATTGAACTCGCAGTGATACGGTGGCAACCTTAAAACTATTCTATTTGTGCTTCTTACCAGTTCATCTACTATGTACTTATTATATTCGCCTTTATGTTGTTTAACGATTTCTAAAAGTTGCACCTTTAACATCGTTTCTTCAAAGGGAATGTCTTTTGAGCGAAGCCAATTTTGAATATCTGCCTTTTTTGTAGCCCTAATGGGAATTTTTTACAATTTTCTGGAATGGTAAGGGGCATTGTCCATTACAATTATAGCATTTTTTTCCAGTGTTTGGAACGCTAAAGTAGGATTATCTTGTAATTCACATTTGTATGTATTAACCATTATTTTTTTGATTCTTATATCTACGTGATTTTTCTTAGCTCTTTTCCTAGGAGGACTTAGCGTTAACAGTTCCTCATTTTCATTTGCCGACTCCGTATCAGACATATTAAATAAATGGATTTATTATACTTTTCTCAACTAAAATAACAAAATGGGCATTTTCAAATTTACTTTTATAGTAGAGGATCCGATATAAGGTTTACCTACACCGCTTTGGTAAATGTGATATTTTTTACTAATGATTTTGATCCTTGAAAATCGTCATCTATCGTTCTTCGTCTGTCAATTCTTTTTCGTCTGTCAATTCTTGTTCGCCTGTCAATTCTTCCTTGTCTTCCAGTTTTAAATTATTTATAACTCGAACACGATCAACTTAAGAAAAATTACAAAATAAATTTTTGTTTAGAATGATCCAAAAAAATCTAAAACAATATCTGCCCGGGTTGATTTTTTTTAAATATATAAAAAAAGGTATTTTTTAACTCTTTTCGGCACATCGGATTGAAATTTGAACCACCAAATTTTTGCTACATGTTGTACAGTAGTCCACAAAATGAATCACTTATTAATCTATTTTTATCAAGTTACACCTACGCAAGTGGTTTGTATTACTTATTCCCTCTGTCCCTATTAAGTGTTATCTTTAATTGGTAAAATTCCCACGGTATAGTTATTGGCCAAACGCGAACGGTTATCAGTTGTTTCTTGAAAAGTGAGGTCATTTTACTTTTTACGTGTGCAATTGAATCTTTCTATGCCCCAAGGGTCCATTGTAGAAAATTTATAAAATCTCGTGCCGCAAAGAGTTTAAATTAATTATAGTCAGGACAAAATTATATCGGGCACCTCTTGTTTTTCATAATTTTTAACATACTAAATAATTTTTATCCATTAAACATATCAGTGCAGGTCGATATTATATCTTATTTTATGGCTATTATAAATGCTTTATTATACTTACAGGAATTATTTTAAAGTGGGGAAAAAGTTTGTATCGACTATAATTAAATGTTCTTAAAAATGCTTTGCACTATCCACACACGAGCTAACGATTAACAAATAAACAAACCAACAAACAGCTTTGCACAAAAATTACTGGGCCATTTCGCATTCGACAGAGGACGGAGCGGAAAAAACGAAGTCCGCACCTGTTAGGGCTAACTGCATGACTTACGATCGTTCGACAATTTGGCCAATAGCAAGGCGTTCGTCACGTGTAGACTCGAATATCACGCGGTGACTTGTGTTGATTCTGTCCGTAACTTGAAGTTGAATTTACTGTGGGTTCCTTGTTATCATTGCTTGATCGTTATCTTCACGCCAACTTCTTCTTTCTTTTTTCAGGAGGAACCATATTCTTCAGAACTATCCGGCTTCTGGCATAAACTTTACGTATCCGAACCATATCAACTGTCTTTTCTCAATCTCCTCGCCTATATTACGATCCAGCTTCATTCAACTGACTTATGCTTGTTTCTGACCCTTTCTAGTTTTGGTTTAGCACAATTTCATCACAAATAGTTTATTTCTGTCGTCATAAGTTTGTTTTGACTATATTTGGTAACATCACAAACTTCCGAACCGTATAGTGTAAATCTTCGTTTAGTCAACGACGAATAACATCATATCTAGAACAGCTGTTCGATAGGTCAGTGATAGTCGATATATTTCTATAAGTTAGTAGAAGTTTCTCGAACACTTGCAACTGATACATTTAATTAGGACTAGAAAGTGAAGGCAGGATAATTATTGCTGTAGAGAAGAAATGAACAGCAAAAACATTATTAAACAGAAAAACAGTTTACTTACCTACAAACAGAAACGTTTAAAAGCCGGATGCGCAGGCTCCGAACCCGCAGGAAAATGCGAGGTATTGAAGTATGCTAAACTGTGCTCCAAAAACCCATTTTCGGTATGGTCTCCGGAAATCTTCAGCTTATAAACTAGTTTGGGAATAAAATGTGATGAAAACGCGATAATAAACGCATTGGAAGCCACTGACAGTCTGCCGATGAACGCCAGAATGGAATACCACACTCCGATATTTTTGACTCGCTGAGGAACTGGTCTTCTGTAATATTTTATGAACTTTTTGGCGTCCAGTCTCATTTCCAGGACGTTGTTGATAAGAGCTAGAAGTGGAGCTAACGGGAATGCTGTCACGAAGATGGTAATGAATCCATACTGGAGTACTATGGATAAACAAATATACATTATTAAAATGAACATCAAAACAATTATTATATTAAAATAAAATAAAACAAACAAACAAGTTAAAGGTATGAGCCAAATCAACGCCATCAGTTAAAGCACTGATCAGCAACTTCTTATTTAAGGGACACAAATGTTATGAGGTTATTGGTGCCACATTTCATCTAATAAACACAGTTTCTTAAGATAAAACTAATTTTTGCATTTTTAACCATATTTATGGTTACTCTCAATTTAATGTACAAAATAAAGCAAGACATAAATATAGGAAGACCTATATAGGGAGACCCATAAAGCTAATGTGATTTTTGAGGTGGTACCTGATTTGAAATTTGATTAATGTCTGAGAGAGCATCTAAAGAAGATGAAGGATTGAAAAGGCTGGACAAACTTTTTTAATTCCTTGAAGGTACAACCTAAACTTGTGTAAAAAAGTACCAAGTTAGTCCTTTCCTTAAATTCCCTTTTGAGGGTGGTATTGATGTGAAAAACTACTATTTTTATTTGCAAATTGCTTGGTAAAGTTTGTTTAGCAGTAAATGGTTGACTTCAATTAGTACCGAATATAAAGATCCTGGGTTAATCGATAATAGTATAAAAGGCCCCGGTTCAGGTAACAATGGTTTACCTGAGGTACATGGTCTTAACAATGGGCCAAGTCAGACAAATTTAATAATATTTACAACTGCACTAATTGAAGTCAACCATTTTCTGCTAAACAAACTTTACAACATAAATATCAACTGCAAACGGGGAGACGCCAAACAGAAAAAACTGGAGAAAAAATGCCAAGAAATCGAAATTCTACAAACAAGACGACTTCAACGTGCATAAAAAGATAAGAGAAATGATAATACCTGGAAAGAGAGAGAATAAGAGTATTGATAATACCTGGAAAAATTGCATACGAAATTTATTTTTTGATGAGAGGGACAACCAGTCCCCAATACCTACGGAGACAGGACCACCTATGCTAGTAGCAGAAAATAAGAGCATCCATAAAATCACTAAAAGAAGGAGAGCTCCAGGACCAGACGGAGTACAATCTGAATTTGTTAAACTTCTTGATGATGAATCTTCAAGAATACTATGTAAAATCTTCAATCATATCAACGACACAGGTAATATTCCAAAAGATTGGCTAATCTGAGAATTTATTACGTAACCAAAGAAGCAGGGAGCGAAAACGTGAGGAGAATATAGGCTAATAAGTCTAATGACCCACACACTAAAACTTTTCCTTAAAATTATACATACACAGTTTGGATTCATGAAAGACGTAGGTACGAGAGATGCACTGTTTAGTCTGTAGGTATTATTCCAAAGATGCAGAGATATGACTTGCGATATCTACACCTGCTTTGTGGACTACCAAAAAGCATTTGACAGTTCAACACTGAAAAATGACGGATGTTCTAACAAAAGCCCAAATAGATAAAGACCGGTGTATAATACAAAATTTATACTGGAGCCACAATAAGAACAAATCTTGGAGATGAACCGACGGAAGCGATCCAGATTCTGCGAGGGCGTTAGACAAGGATGTATACTTTCACCTTTATTATTGAACCTATATTCAGAAGAAATATTTAGTGAAGCCTTAGAAAATTGCGAACATAGAATCTTTTTAAATGGAGAACGCCTAAGCAACATCCGCTACGCAGATGACGCCGTTATTTTTGCAGAAGGTTTACACAGTTTACAGCAACAACTAATAAACAAAGTAAATGAAGCAAGTGGAAGATTTGGACTACAAGTAAACATATCAAAATTAAATTTATGGTCATCAGCCAAAATAAAATTAGAAACTTCCAACTGCTTATCAAGAATGCAACCAGTTGACCTAATAAAAACAGTTTACCTATTTTAGAACAATAGTAAACAGTTTACTGTCATACAACTACAATAGCAGAATTGAGTTCTCCATTCAACAATACATAGTGGTTTTAACCAAGTTCTACCATCCATCAATTAATAGAGTACCGGCATGTAAGTAATGTTTATTTATTTGCTCATTTATTAATTTATTACAATCTAATAGACTATTCTATAACAATTTGTGGGCCTTACCTTGTCTGTTTAAACTTTTAAAACTTTTTATACCTTTTTATACAACTTACTCTTTTTGAAATAAAACCACAGACATGTAATATTGGCATAATTATTGTAATTTCCAACATCTACTTTGTTTATCTTTATTAGACAACACCCTAATATGGGTTTTTATCATTTCAGCATTTATTTAACTTTGTATCGAGACCTGAAGATGCTTTGCATATTGTAGAAAGCGAAACCGGTCGTCTGATAGTTAAATTAAATTGATTGTGAGTAAGTCTTATTTATTATTTCTTTACCTAATTATATTCTAGTTATAATATTAAAGTACACCAAAAAATAATAGGTAATAATATATTATATACGTTTAAACAAAAAATAGAGGTGAGAATGGATCATTTGAAGAGTTCCATAACCTTAACAACCTCCCCAAATTGTGTAAAATTTCTCAATATTAATAATAATTGCGAGTAAAATATTGTACTAAACAGCTAATGTAAATCTTACTTACCCATCTCTAAATATTCGCTAAATAAACTACTTTCAGCTTCGGTCAACTTGTAATCTTCCGTCCACTGATTGCAGCTTATTAAGGTCACTTCGTCAGTTTTGGTCTTTTCAATACCGGTAGTAACAATGAAAGTTTTGTACATCTTTAGACATAACGGTATAAGCGTTTCCATGACGTTGTTGACCGCTTGGTTGCCGATCATGATGATGGCCAATTGCATGGTTAGTTCCATAAGACAACCACCAGGATTGCACTAAAAAATGGGTACCTACATATTGTTACTGTATTATATATATTTTATAATTCATAAAAACAATAATTATTATATTTTAATATTACTACTTTCTTCGCCAGTCTTACTATTTTCGATTTTTCATCTCTTGAGCCGCTAAAAAAGTGTAAAAAATAGCTTATTTAAATTTCCACTGTTCGCATCTTATTTATTCTTCTACGCAGATGCGTTTTTAAGAGTAAAAAAAATGTTTTATTTACAACAGCTCGCGAACTTGTCTATTTTCATTTGCTTAGTCTTAGACTTAGAATTGCTAGGGCTTCTGTTACGGTATAGTTGTCAAAGTTGTCTCAAATTTGTGGGGAAGGGATTGAACGTTGGGCCAGAAAATCTTACAAATTTATTTCCTTGCAATCTAAGTGAGGGAGCTTTGTAACTGGGTACCTACATCGTGAGAGTTGGAAATCTTTTGATTCCAAGCCTTACTTCAAAGGACTTGTGAATGGATGCATCTCCATAGGTTTGGATCTTCAGTGACCGTTGAAAGATAAGGATTCTTAATTTGAGCAATTATAGCTCCAGAGAAATAAAAGCACCTTTGAGTTTATTGATTTATAATTAAATCCTTGAGTAGAGGCCCAACACGGCCGTAACTTACTGTACAATATCAAATGTACTCTTTCTTTATAACACGTAAAACAAACCGTTATGAGAAATAAACATGAGAAAGTGCCCGATTTCGGCGGAGAGAAAATATCTAAATACGTGAATTGTGAAATTCTTAACTGCCCGCTGTGAGTGATGCCTGCTCAAGGCCATGTGTCGAACTCGACAAGGGCTCAGCTGATACTTAACTAATAAAAACTACATAATGCGTAAAATGGGGATAGTGCTTAGGTGTGAAAAATATTTAACGGATGTTAGACGCCAATCCGTCGCCTTCAAACTTGATAAAGTGACTTCTAGTTATTCTACACTAAGAAAAGTCAAAGAATTATATGTTTATTTTATATTTTAAAACAATATGTTCATTTCTGGAACACTAAGACTTTCGGAACCACGTCAGGTTTCGACTCTATGTTAGAAGAAACTTTGATATTTGCTTCAAATATAAATCTCATCAAAAGCCAAAATTATGCAGCAACGTGTTACAAAGCATTACTCAAGACCAACTGACCAACAGTGGGAGATGTTGAAATATACATGCTGTATACATGTACTGAACTATTGGGATTATACCCCATTTATACACTTTGCTTTCAATTTTGATTTTTATTTTTAAGAATTTCAATTTCATAGTTAAATTTCTTCTTTTCTACAGTATTGGTAGTGCTTGGTAGACCTTTTTATTTTAGTCAACCACCCACTATCTAATAGATTGTTTAGTCTATTTCTTACATTCATACTCTACATACACTTTAGTTGCCCCAAACTAACACCCAAACTATTACTGACAGGTTTGAGTGTGAGATCTGGATTATGTAATCTACATATAGTAATCTATATAATTTTATATTTCATCAGTTGACTTCCTATAGTAGTGTCAGTTGGTAACCTTTGGTCAATGCTCAGTTTCATAAAATTTTGAAATGTGCACATCACATCACCATGGTTGTGACTGCCCATCCAAGTTGTCATATGTCAGATGTCACTTTAACATTTCCGTTAAGACCAGGAGCCATTCTCTCTCCCGATGTCACTCAATATGTACCTTCTTCGAATTAATAATAATTTTTAAACTGTTTGTCCTTTGTCTCGTGTTGTGTAAATGTATCAGTTAATGTTTATGACATTCACCATATATTGTTCGATATATTTATTTTGACGAAATAAATCTAAAACATTATATTACATAAAAAAAAATTATCAAATTCGAGTTTTTTCCAAGTTAATTAATTTTTCTTCAGTTGAAAAAACATTTCTTGGCTTATTTCAGATGTCTCTGAAGATGCTCTACGAGCGAAAGTACTTGGGCAAGATTTAATAAAAATTGTGCTCGATATCTGCCTTTTATTTGATTAAAAGTTTATATAAGTGTTACGAAAACAAATTTTCAACTGACTTACCTCTTCTTGCCGATATCCAAATATCTTGTTGTACTTCGCAGGATAACCTACAAACTTTCCTTTAATGAAAGCTATGTAGAAAATGGACGAATAATAATTGACAAACTGGAACATGTATATTTTGATCGCTAAACTTTCATCGAACTCCGTTTGAGTCCTTTGTAACTCCATTTCCGTTAGCCATTGGGCCAACTTACCGTAGACGAAGTTCAAGATAACGATACAGGTTAAATTGATTAAACCAGCGGTTATAGGCACTACGTATATTCGATAGCTAGTATTGTCACTAAAATAAAACAAGAATAAATAAGTATAGTTATATTATGAATACACTGTACTTCATTAAAAAAACCACTTCGAATTTTATTCGAAGACAGCACACTTAGAGTGCTGTCTTTCTACGGAGGTTGGCAATCATAATTGATATTTTTATTTTTGAACTGGCTGCTCTAAACAAATTAATTGATCTGCATTGATAACAATCACGTAGATTCTTTAACCATGAGGTCTGTCGGCCAACAAATCTTCTTCCTTGAATCTTTCCCTGTATTATGAGTCTCAAAATTTCATATTTTGGTTCCCTCATCACGTGGCCTAGGTATTCCAGTTTTATGGTTCAGAGTGTTCATTAGTGCACAGTTGTTCAAAGAATGAACTTCTGCTATTTTTAAATTTAAAACTTTAGCTAAGAGATTTGCTAAATATGTTCTTTATGGCTCAGACGGTGGCATCAAAACGTACAGAAGACATTATGAACGATATGCTGCTTGTGTTCGACGAACACGTGTTTCTTTTAGAGGATGCTCGGTAATTTTTTGGGCAAGCAATTCATTCGAAGACCGTACTGATCTCGTTTTAATTGATAAAAGAGTGGTAAATGCTCACCGATACATTACCGAAATTCTAAACGACCACGTAATGCCTTTTGCTGGGTTTGTGGGCACAAACTTTATTTTTATGCAAGACAACGCGCGGCCACACGTAGCCATTAAGGCGGGCATGTTTTCGACGCTGAAGCACCTGAGGGTCTTAAAAGTACCCTTGTTTTGGACGCTGCCGGAAGGATTATCGCAGGTACCAGATATTAGATATAATTAGGGTTTAATGATGGTCATTGAAATTTACTTAGTTACTAGTTATTACTTTGTCAGAGAATAGTGAAAAGTGAACATGGAAATTTCAACGTTAGTAAGTAATCGTGGTAAAACTTTTGCTCAAAGTGAACAGTTTTACTTTTTCTCAAGATAAAGTACTAAAATCGGGAGAAACGTATTGGAGGTGTTTAAAATGGTCGTGTAAAGCGAAGAAATTCACGAAAGAGCCAGAAAAGTTAGTGATCCGAAGTAATCTAGAACATAATCACGAGTGTGCTATCAAGACGCTTAATAGACAGATTGTGCGTAGCAGTGCCAAAAGGAAGGCGAAGGATAATTTGACCGAAAGGCCGTCCAAAATCATACATAGTGCGTTGAAAGAAAATGTAGATTGCTTGAGCCGCATGTCTGTTAAGACGTTAATTTAATACGAAATCAAATATACAGTGAACGGCGAATGGCTCAACCGAAACTGCCCAAAAGTAAAGAAGAAACTATTGCTGCGTTAAATATTATGAATATCAAAACATTTAAAGACGAGAATTTTATATTTGCGGTTGAACTAAGTTCTAACATTATCATGTTCTCGTGTAACATTAACATGCGTTTTCTGTGCGGCAGTGAAACGATTTATATGGACGGTACTTTTAGTTACTGTGCTCAATATTTCAAGCAATTTTTACCTACTGTATTTGTCAATGGACATTATATACCATTGTGTTATTGTTTACTTCCCGACAAATCGGAACAAACCTATATAAAAATATTTAATGTTTTGAAACGCAAATGTGAAGTAATTGGTCTAAAGTTCAATCCAAAAATCATTTTCTCCGATTTTGAAATTGCTATCCACAATGCTGCGCGTTTTGAATTTCCAAATGTGCACATTAAAGGGTGCCGTTTTCATCTTATGCAAACTTGGTATCGTAATATCGGTGGTTGTGGCTTAATTCGGGAATATAAATTGGCAGACAGTGAAATATCTAAATGGCTGAAATATATTTTTGGGCTGCCATTTTTACCTCCCTCAGAAGTCGAAGAATCTTTCATATATGATTTTATGGCTATTCAACCAAATTATTCAAAAATTGAAAAGTTTTCCGACTACTTATTGGACAACTACATTGGCGACCACGCAACATTTCCGTCGGAGATGTGGGCTGCGATGAGTGAGAGTTTACAATTAACAACTAATGCTTGTGAATCGTTCCACTCGCGTTTATGATAATTTTTACCATGCTCATCCAAATATTTTCCATTTTATTGATGTTTTAAAAAATTTTCAAACTGAAACTTACATTAAAATTAATAGTGTCTGTAATAGTGAAAGTAATAGACTTAAAAATCCAAAGAGTAGAAAAAAAATTATGTTCGTTAGAAATAGGATACATGAGTATCAAAGTAACTGTATCGATCGATTCCATTTCGTAAAATGTATGTCGTATTTATTTCAAAGTGACAAATAAACCTTATCAAGCTTAATCTCTAGAATTTTATTACCTGACTTTCCATTTACATTTCAATTACACCCAGCGTCCAAATCATGTATGCAGAAACAGGTAATTTTATTTTTCAGTGTCGAATTTTAAATTTAGCGTCCAAATCATGCACGCCGCCAGGATGGGAACACAATACCTGGAAACCTTCTGTGTGCCAAAAATAAATTGGCCGGCTCAAAGCCCAGATTTGAAACCGATTGTGCATGTTTGGGACCAATTCAAAAGAAGAATAAGAATCAGAATACCTGCTCCAATAAATCTTCGGTTGGCGCTTATGGAAGAATGGCGTTTCCTCAAGACAATATCCATAATTTAATCAATTCAATCCCAAGTCGAATGAGGGTGTAATTAAAAATAGAAGTGGTAACACAGAATATTAAAAATAATGACTTTATTGTAATTTTTATAAGAAATAAAAAGAATCAATTTTTTTGCAATTTTTATAAGCAAGAAAACAGAAAAAAATGTATAATGTTCATTTTTTAAATTTTTTGGAGAAGATTTTATTCTGGCATTTATTTAAACTGAAATTAAAATTTTCCCTTGATATTGCCAGCCAATGACGTTGGTGATAATTCATTATCGCTGATATAACTAATTTTTTTGGCATTATTTCAACAGCGGATCTTAAAATTCTTCCATCTGCATTCTTAATCTGCCACACGGAGGTCCTTCGATGACATTAATTTGTGAAACACTCAGTATAGACATTTCTCTTCTAAATATTTCTCAAGATATTATTCTATGACCGCTTTGCAAAATTTCTGCAGTAATAAAAAATCCCGTTAAATATTTATTATGGACTATTATTGATAATCCTTTTTAAAAGACACCGCAAAGAGTACCGCTATATTTTAGACCAAATACTGATACTAACCACTCTACTTCATCTAGGTAATTTTTGTCAATATGAATATACCTGAAATATCAGATCTTGCCATTTTCCCGTTCTGCAGTAAGATGTAAAAGCCCCTCTATTCGTTAAGAGAGACCCCTTTTTTAATAGGGGTACCAATTTGGAATGAGTTCCTCAATCCCAATTTGTATTGAGGTCCTCAATCCCAATTTGGACTGAGGTTCCCAAGTTTGCAACCAAATATCAATCTTAATTACAACTACAATATTTTTCTTCTCAACCGGCAATCCCTCTTGAAAGTTCTGCAGTGTCAAAATACGTATCAAGCTGTAATTCGATTGATGGATTACGCAACCAGTTGTGAGTACAATAATTCATTCATCTATTCTAAGCCAGGTCAAGCTGGATGTGTCATTCATTTGAAGAAAATCACCAATCTAAAGAGACTGAATTTGATTACGATATAGCACTTAAAATCTCTTTAACACTAAACAAGACATATTTTATAATCATTAATTAATATTATTGATATTTTTTGTTCTATTTTAATCAGGATAAAAGGTGAAATTGATTAACTAAACATTAATTTTTTGTTCTCTTTTTGCACTTTGCTAAATTTTTTGATTGTATATTTATTAATTAATTATAACCTACCTATGTAGAAAGTCAGAAGTAACGATTGACATCCTATAGACGACCACTCCTGTCACCACACTGAGTGCTATCAGCGTCCAGAAGAAAGCTATGGAAAAACTTAGGATGAGAGACGGCAATTTAACTCTCCAGAAAGGAACCACCGGCTCTTGGAGTTGCGTAACGACGTTGAGTTTCTTTTTTTTAGCGTTGGCTAACTTTAGTAAGTATTCCGGTCTGGGTGGCTCGGCTTGAAGGTCAAAACCTGTGAGGCCCCATCTGTGGGCTATCTCGGCACTATACCTAAAACATTGAATGGTTTCGTAGCACTTAGAACTATACTCAACAAAGTGAAACAAACTAGCAATATGAATTTAATGAAATTATTGCTAAAAATTGATCAACGACAAACTACTGGCCGTTTATATCACATTAAAATGTTTACGAGTTCTCTCATCCTCTATATTTTCTCCTTCATAAGGATGTAGTGGCGTCATGTAATTTTATTAAATATTTCTGTCCAATTATCTCCCTCCTATGCGTGTTGTTTTGCTTTGGAGAATAAGCAACCACTCATGTCCTTTCTTTGGTCCGACCATTGTACTTGAGATCTTACTACTACTGCTACTTCTACTACCATGCAAATGATACTTCGCATGAAGCGAACTATCATTCGCTCCATACCTTCTCGTCTTCTAGTTAAGTCTTTAGTTTTTATGTTAAGTTCTGGTAGAATTGAGTTATTTGTGCGATGGGCGATCCATGGTATGCGCAAGCAACATTCTACGCTCAACCCAAATTTCAAATGCCATTATACGCTTTGAATCGGCTTTTTTTATTGTCCAAGTTTCTGAAGCATAGGTGGCGATAGGAAATATCAATCCTAGAACAAGGCGTAATTTTGTGTTTTTATGATGTCAGTGTTCTTCCAAATTTTTGTGAGTTTAGTTGTTGCCGATCTGGCCATTATGATGCGTCGACGGATTTTGTCACCCTTCACTGTTAGTAATATTGGATGACTGGCATTATTGGGCCATACTTTTTTGAAGAGGCTGGCCATAGTGTCACCGTTAATTCTATTCGCTACGTTGACATGATCCAATTTTTTTGGTTCCAGAACTACGCAGAAAAGGGATAAACCCAAGGAATGTGTGGTTTCAGCAGGATGGTGCCACGACACATACTGTCCAAGCTTTAATGAATATTCTCCGCAACCTGTTCCCAGGACAACTCATTCCACGTGTCGGAGATTTGCCGTGGCCTCCAAGGTCTCCAGACCTGACAATTTGTGACTTTTTGCTATAGGGGTATTTAAAGAGTCTATATGAGTATATATGCTAGCAAGCCTCGTAATTTGATCGAGTTGAAGAATGCAATTAGCCAGGAAATCGTGACTATTGATCGAGCGATGTTAGAGAGTGTTATGGGGGATTTCATAAAGAGGACCAAAAACTGCATCCAACATGATAGTTACCATCTTGATGACATTATTTTCCATACTTAATTAAATTGTAAATGGCGTAATATAAGCTTCATGGTCAACTTCTGTGGTTTTCCAGGTTTGACTCAGCGTTGAATTTTGCGTTTTAGAAAAACCATTGTTTTGACGATGTTTCGACAAGGTCACTCTTGCTATTCTCAAGTCAGATTAGTTCTGCTTCTTTCTAATGTTCGAAAAGAATTGAAAGAGAACAGGCCAAGGCACACAACCTGTTCTGTCGAGCCAATGGTGATGATGACGAGTGTAGACCACGTTCGCAGAAAAGCGCTGCAGATTATTGTTAAATAAAAAACCTACAGAAGGTTCAAAACCAATAAATCACTAAGGCTTGTGTTATGAAGTGCAAATAATAACGTATAACCTTATGCAGTATAAATTAGACATAAAACTGTGCATAGTTAAGGAAAACTAAGACCTAAGACACCAGAGGTGACATATAAGATAGGTTTTTGTATTAACATTGCAGGTTAGGCATATATGACTACTAATAATTATATATTATATAATATATCAATAATATATTTGTCTTAGTTGCTCTGTGGTTCCATTTAAAAAAATTGCGCTAAATTTCAAATTTTTTAAAGGATTAAACTGTTCAAAGAAGAAGTAACTTACCGCTTCCACAGCTCCAGGTACAAAGTTCCCCAAAACGACATAAACACGGCGAAAAATATCGTCGCAGGATTGTCGATCACATGCTGCACTTTCGCGTAAGTGCAGCTCTCCTGCAAGTTCCAGTAATCACAAAATTTATCACATCTCGGACACATAGTAATATTCGCGGCAGCACAAATGTCCCTGCTCAGACTGTCTGAACTAAGGGTGGCAGCACCGTAGATAAGGCACAAAATGCCCACTATGGAAGCGGGGATCAACATGTGGGTGTAGAATCCCAGCCATGCGAAGTACAGGGCGAATTTGACGCCGAAGTATTCTTTGACTTCGTCGAGGGGTTGGTACTTTATGAACTTCGACACAGAGGCCCATTCGTCGAGGAGGAGCTTGCGTTGGGAGGTTCTATCGTGGAGGTCGCCCTGAAAAGAAAATGATAATGTTTATATAGTCACTTTCATTCAAAAAATAGTTCGTTTTCTTTTATGCAGAAATGTATATAGATTCTTTATGTCCTGAAATGTTTATCTAAATGTTCTTTACTATTTGTCTCTCTTTGTTTTTTTAAAAGGGTTTGTCCTTTTATGAACTCTGCGGCAGTTAGAAGGGTCCGTTTTACCGAGTAGATTGCTGATCTGTCCTTGTAGCATTTTTAAATTCCGTTCTGTGTGAAGTTTTAATTCACGTATTTCAAATTCCATCATGTATAAGATTTTATTATACCTTTTTCAAACATTCTACCGAGAGTTTAGTGTTCTTGGAATAGAATAAACATCCACAATAAACATTGTCACAACAAATTGCCTTTTATTGGAGTATTCAATAATTAAGATAGGCGTGAGAATCGAAGTAAATAGCACGCCGATCAAAGTATTCAAGTTTAAGTAGAACAGTCTTAATCTGTGGGGAATTTTTACCGCTGAGATTGTGTGAGATAAGAAATGAAAGGCAGGATTTGCATCTTTGACACAAAGAGAACAAAAAGGATGTTAGAAACAGCAGAGATGAACACTTCTGAGTAAGAAATAGAAGAGTAGAATGGAACGATCATAAGAGTCATATCTACGTAAAAAGAAGAAGAGATTGTGTTGTGTAAATTATCATCACAGAGACAAATTTTTTTAATTCAATCCTGGTTGATCTTTTGGCTTTCTTTCGCCAGGTACTGAGGTTGTTCCAGTACCATCAATTTCCAGTTTAGCCTATTCAAATAAAACTATCTCTCTTTGTTTGTCCGCCAGAGATGGGAGTGAACTCTATAACTGAGATATAAATGTCTAACTAAAAATAAAAATATAAGCAAATACTTACATCGTGTAATGGATAAGCGGCTTTGTAAACGTTTTCAGCTATCAGTCTTTTAATTCCCTTGTCTTGGTCCTCTTTTCCAAACTTTTCTCGTTCTAGTATATATGAGACTACAGTTATTTTTACAGAGGTATTGAAGAAGTCTGGATCATCTACATCAAATCTGCAAAAGGTACAATTATAAATCACCAATTTGGTTCTTTCATTAGTACATGAAGCAGCTGCATGTGAAGTGTCGTTCAAATTATCTGGTGTGAGACAAGTAATAGAACAAAAAGATAATATTTTGCAAAAAGTATTATATGAGTTTATAATGTAAAATACAGGGAGAAAATTCTAGAACTTTTGAGATAAAGGATTGGCATCGAAACTTTTTTGATTTTAGATGTAAGCATAAGTGCATATTGGAATCAAACAGCAAATGTCAAGGTTGAAGGCAGACTAACAGAAGAAATTCAAATCCGTCGAGGAGTCCGGCAGGGATGTATCTTATCGCCACTTTTATTTAATCTGTATAGTGAAGCTATCTGTGAACAAGCACTCGAGGAAGAAGATCTTGGTCTGATAATAAATGGTGAGACGATCAACAATATAAGGTATGCTGACGATACAGTTCTCCTAACGGGAACGCTAGTAGAACTACAATATCTCGTTCAAAGTCTCAATATATACTGTAACAGTTACGGCTTGAAAATTAATTTGAAAAAAAAACTAAATTTATGGTAATCACGAAATCAAAGAACATCAGAGCTAATCTTGTAATAGACAATACAACGATTGAGCGTGTGCCCTGTTATAAATACCTAGGTGTTTGGATCACAGACGGTACTGATCAAACAAAAGAGATTAGATGTAGAATAGAAATCGCTAGATCAGTCTTTAATAGAATGTGCAAACTCTTTTGCAATCGTGATATCAATATAAAGTTACGAATACGAATGCTGCGGTGTTATGTCTTTTCTACCCTGTTATATGGAGTTGAGGCTTGGACACTAAAACAGTTGACCATAAAAAACATCGAAGCTTTCGAGATGTGGTGCTATAGGCGCATTCTCAGAATATCATGGATGGACCGCGTCACTAACACGCAAGTACTCCAAACTTTAGACAAAAGATGCGAAATTCTAAATGAGATAAAAACTAGAAAGATGGAATACTTGGGGCACATTGTGAGAGGTGAAAAGTACGAACTTTAAGAAACATCATGCAGGGCAAAATTAAGGGCAAAAGAAGTGTGGAAAGAAGAAAAAATATCGTGGCTTCGTAATCTACGTGAATGGTTCGGGTTGTAGTTCGATTGAACTTTTTAGGCGCGCTGCTAACAAAGTCGCAGTGGCCATGATGATTTCCAATCTCCGCTAGGAGTGGCACGAGAAGAAAAAAAAAATAAGTGTACAGACCGCTTGCACAACCAAGCTGAAGAGAAATTCGTTCATTTGAGAACATTACAAACTAAGAACGAGCAGGATATTTTTTTTTATAATCATTGATTATCTGCAACAATGTAAAAACCGATAGACCCAGAAAAGAAGGTGCAGAAGCGAGGGCTGCTCACAATGTTTATTTTACATACGAGGTAGTTGTGGGTGGAACCAGAGAAAAGGTATGTTTAGAAGCATTTAAGTCGATCTATGGCATTAAAAGAAGTCGTATTAGAAGATTTCGCCCATTACTATTAATGGGTAAAACCCCGAAGGATCTTTGTGGGAAAAAATTGGGCACTCATGCAATCAGTGTTCATACCAGGTTATTAGACTGTTCAAGACAACGTATTGAAAGTTATCCATTAAAAGAAAGTAAATATGCAGGAAAGATTATAAATGAAGGTTTTTTGTGTCATCTTAGGAATGTAAACAAAAAAGTTCCAAGTCGACAAAATTTAAATATTTATGCCATATATATACACACATTATTTTACACTAAGAAATATCAAACATTACATCTAGAAGTGTCAAAAACATTCCCAAATTTTTTGGTATTTATTTAAATGACTGATAATAATCTATACTTTTTCCATTTTTCACGCAAAAATGGTTTTCATGACTTCATGACAGAACGTTTTTGTTGACACCGATTCAGTTTTTGCTTCAATAATTTGGTGCGTTGTTGCCAGAAATCAATTGCTAATTTAAAGGTCACGTTAAGAATGTCAAATATCTCTAAAATTTATTAAAATAACGGACATAACCAAACTTACAAATAATTTTTATCCTTGTTAAACTCGGCTGTTAATTGGTATTTCTTGACAGGAAACTTTTCAGGGTCTAACATCACATTGAATCTTGTTAAGATTTTCACGGCAGTTTTGGTTATTATATTATCTTTGAGAGGACACTGTTCTTCCTAAAACAGAATGCAGAAAAATTATTAAAAGTAAGATCGAGTTGAGTACTCGTATTATGCAAGAATAATCGACTTAAAGTTACCAAACACAAATAACTTTATTTGAACAGGGTAAAACAGTAATCATGTCTATTTTATATAGGAGGTTCTAATCAGATCTATTGACGTGTTCTGTGGAACTAGAAACCTCAAATTATTTTAGTCATGACAACTTTAGCATGGTTCTGATTAATATTCGTTCTATAAGATATAAAACAGATGAATTAATTTTGTTTCTAGGGGAATTATGATTTCCTCCTATAGTTGCGGTTACCGAACACTGACTTAAAGTCAACGAGCCTTTTTTTGTAGAAAAATATGCCACAATTGCTAGGTATGATCGTCTAAGATTAAGATCTCAGTTTTTATAAGGCTGTCATAAAGGAGTTGGTCAATTAGGGTGACAGAAGAATAGAGCTGTAAACACACAAATCACCTACCTCTAGATGCTTCACAATACTTTAATAAGATATGAAATTCAGCGCTCCAAGAGATTTGTATCGGAACTAATTCAAACGGGAAATTACGCGGGAATTTCAAAATTTAATTTTGGTGGGAAAATTTAAATAAAGCTTAAAATATTTAAACATAATTTGGTATATTTGAAAAAAAAAAATTGCATTTTAAATTTTAAAAGGTACAAATTATTTTTAAAGCCAAATATACACAATACCATTTACGAAAAAATAAAACAAAATATAATTTATATATTTATTTAATACATGTAAAACAAATTTGTATATTAATTTAGAATACAATAGAAATATGCTTTATTACCAATGAAAATTGTACAATTTTATATACTAAATAGGGTATCTCAAATGATTGAAACATATGTGTAGATTGTGCATTTCTACTTGTTGAAGAACTTTCAACTAAAACAAAAAATTGATATAATAATTTATACCATGATTCACTTCAAGTAAATAATTGTTATTAATTACATATTAGGGTTACTTACTTTATATTACATTTGCTTCCGCGTACAACATTGAAATGCTTCTGGAATGTAGATTAGAAGAACAATCCAAAATCAATCAGCTATTTGCTCTCGGAAATTGCATTTTGGTACAAATGACTCATCATATTCATCATATCTAAATTAGGACTTTTTATAACACTCAGCCACAGGTTAATGCTAACAATAACCCAGAGATATTAAACCAAGTTTAGTTTGATTTCTTTGCAATAATAATTTGCAATAATAACCATCAAATCTCAAACAATTTAGACCATGGACGTATAAACAAAGATGGACTCAGTTATTTACATAAAATTGTGAAGTCAAAATTATTTAAATAGGTCACATTCTCAGCACCTTCAACTGTTTTCACGTTTTGTTTTAAAATTTCTTATTCGCGAGTCGCTGAAAATATTACTCCGTATTTTATACTCTACAGGTGCTATCAAACCAAAATAATAATTTATTGGTTAGATTAATATATTTAATTGTAATCAAAATATAAAGTGCGCACATAGTGTGCATTATCATTTAATAATAGCGTATAATAGATATCAATCAATTATTTTATATGTAGAAGCATTGAAAACTATTTATAAATGGCAACGGTTGTTTACATTTCTCTGTCTTATGGATCTACGTCAAACTTCAAATGCTGTTCCATGTTTGTTTACTTTTTAGTAAAAGTTGTTTTTCGATATTTTGGCTGTATTTTGAGTGATATTTGTGAAAAGTGAAATAAAATAAACGAAATATTTCCATCCCGATCTCTCATTTCATTTGTAAGTACATACAATTTACATTATTTAAGATGAGGAAATGAGGAAGCGTGTTTGTTTACATTTTAATAGGCATACCATTGGGTTTATTCATGTTCATTAATGTATTAAATAAGATATAAGTTCATGAAATTAGTAGACATTTTTAAATTGTAAGTAGACATCATCTGATTAAAAAAGATCTATTTAGTATCTTTTTAATTTAATATTTCTCATGGATGCAAATAAATTAGTGAAATGAATAAAACTAATATTTTTCTATGTAGGTTTCCAAATAATATTGACGATCGAACTATTTTGGTAGCAAATTTAGGAGAAAACATAAAGATTTTTTATTGTAGCATTATTTTGATACCTATTAAAAATTAACTTGAATTCAACTATATTTTATTGTATTAATTTTAAAGCAAATAAAATTGTATTTTAATTTTTCTATAAAGACGTGATTTGTTAATTATTAAACACTCGTTTTTTTAAATTCTTTGAACGTGTTTTTATACATTATTACTACTTCCAATTTTTAACATCTGAATAATTACTCGCGAGTAACAATTCAAGCACGCTTATGCTCATTGCGGAAGCATCACATTCTATCGAAGCTTCAAAACATTGTGTGTTAAAGGTATCTTATTGCTGTGTCCATCTATGTTTATACGTCCATGATTTAGACGAATAATAACCATCTGAAATCTGATTATATAGACGCTAATCAATTATTATTACCAAGGAATATAGACTATATTCTTTGTTATTACTGATACTGACAGTAGTTGGCGATTGACAATTATAATTTTTAGTTTGGTTCTAAACCTAAACTACAGAGTATAGACTAAATGTGGAGTATAGCGACATCAAAAGATTTGTATCGGTACTACAAATAACATTTAGTTTAGTGTGACCTTGAGCTTCCTACGTTAAATGTCTAGTTATTAGTAGTCTGTGGTAATACAAGTTAAAAATTTCTTCTTCTTCTTCCTCTTTATAAGCAATTCTGCTTGTTCATTGGTGGATTAATACCTCTACGGAAGTTTGTCACTCCATATTTCTTTTATCTCTTGCTAATTTGAGTCACGGGTCTCCTCCATTCTGCTTCTGTGATTATTCCATTCTTTTTTTCTATTTTGTGTCCTTTCATTTATACACTGTACGTTACATTTTCTTCTAATGTCTTCACTTCTCTTTCGATCTCTCGGCGTATTTCCTGTAATTCTTCTCAGTACTCTCATCTCAGCAATTTGAAGTAGCCTTGTGGCTGTGTCGGGTCTTGTTTCTGAGGCATATGTCATTATTGGTCTTACACTGGCTTTATAAATTCTTGACTTCATCTCAGTGTTAATATGTCTGTTTTGCCATATAGTGTTATTAAGGCATCATGCCAATCTATTTGCTTTTTGTACTTGATTTCTCACCTTTGTCCAGGTATCCATAGCTAGACAGTGTAATTCCACATCTTTGAGTCTTTCCCTGTCAAACGCTTTCTTTAGGTCAATCAGACACAGAAATGCTGGTCTATTATACTCTAGTGATTTCTCAGTAATTTGCTTTGTAACGAATATTGCGTCTGTACATGATCTTCCGCTACGAAAACCACGTTGTTCATCTGCTAAACGTATCCTCTGATTTATTAAAACTTTCTGACTGTTTTTATCTTCTTTTTTGAATAGTAAAATTAGTTCGCTCGTTCTCCATTCTTCCGGAATTTTGTGTTTTATAATTTTATTAATTAATGTTGGTAGTGATTTTGTCATTATACAAGTAAATGAGTTGTAGTAGAGAAATTCACCATATGCAATCCCTTATGTGCCTCAACGAGAGTGTAGATAGACAATTTTATAAAACCCTGGTAGTAAAATAGAGAATAAAATAATATGCAAATAAAACACTAAAATTTTACTATAAAAAGGGGCTGAAGGTTATATTATTATGATAACATTTTTTGTCCTGTATTTCTAGTTTTAAATATATTTTAACATAAGAAGTTAATGCATTTTTCGTATCAAACACACTTTAGAAATCTAAGAGTGATAATGAGAAACAGCAGTGCAATTTAATTGAATTAAATTAATGTTTAGTGTATAATGATTAGAACAGATTGTTTATGGGTGAAATAAGTACATGTGTAAGACTAAAGCAAAACATCGTGCGGTTCACTTCCAAGTACAAAGTAAAGTTGATTTATAACAAAGCATTTATTTTCGATTGTATCAGTTTACATTAAATAATTAATATAACCTATCATCCTTTCCGAATGTCGTCATACCGTCAGACCTTGCAGTAGTGGAGAGGCACTACATTCTTGATCATGGTCGCTACTGATTCTGTGAACACATGAGCACGATATAGTGAGAAATCGCGTCGCCTTAACTCTGGGTTTTAGGCAATTTAGCAATGCGTCTTCTTGAAGTTCCACTCCTATCGGAGATTGGAAATCATTCTGGCAATTATAATTTTAATGGTTACGCGCCTGAATAGTTCAATTGAACTGCATCCAAACCATTCACGAGATTTTACGTCTTCCTACGCTTCTTCTGCCTTTGATTTTACCCTGCATTATATTCCTTAGCAGTTCGTATTTTTCATCTCCCATGATGTGCCCCAAGTATTCCAATTTCCTGATGTTTATGGAATTTAAAACTTCACATTGTTTTTCTAGTTGTTCGTTTGTTTTGCGATCCATCCATGATCTTTTCAAAATACGTCGGTAACACCACATTTCGAATGGGTAGAGAAAATATAACATCGAAGCATTCTTATCCGGAGCGATATATTCATACCGCGATTACAAAAAAGTTTTCTCATTCTATTAAAAGTTGACCGTGCAATTTCAATGCGGCATCTTATTTCTTTTGTCTGATCAGTATCTTCTGTGATCCATGCTCCAACGTATTTGTACGAAGATATTTGTTCAATTTCTGTATTATCTAGTACTAGCTTACCTTTGATGTTTTGTGTTTTTGTAAATACCATGAACTTGGTTTTCTTCAAATTGATTTTTAGTCCATAATCGTTGCAATATATATTTAGTTGTTCAGCAAGGTGTTGCAGTTCTTCTAGTGTTCCTGCCAAAAGGACGGTGTCGTCAGCATATCTTATGTTATTAAGTGGCTCACCGTTTATTATAAGGCCCTCACTGATCTCGGCAAGTGTTAATTCTGAGATGGCTTCACTGTATCAATTGAATAACAAGGGTGATAAAATACACCCTTTGCGGACCCCACGGCGAATTTAGCAATTAAAAAGCTATAATTCAGAAAACCAGAAGGAGAAGATGAAATAACAACTCAAACACTCAAAGAAATATGAGAATTAAAGACGGAACTAATGCTTAGGAAGAGGAACAAGAGAACATATTCCTAATATTCGTCAAATTATCGAAAAATCTCGAGAGTTACGCTTTCAACATATTGATGCTTTATTGACTATTACAAGGCCTTCGATACCTTAAAATGGGATAAATGTGGCATATACTTAGAGAAGTGGGTACGCCATAACATCTAATCTATTTATTATAAAAACTATATGTAAATAATACTGCTAATGTAAGAGTTAATAATGTGATTTTGAAAAACTTCAAATTAAAATCTGGAGTTCGACAGGGATGCATAATATCCATTATTATATTCAATATATATAGTGAACATATTATGCGTCAAGTTTTTTAGGAATGACAAGGTGAAGCAACGATAGGAGGAAGAAAAATGAAAAACCTACTGTATGCTGATGACACTGTTACATTATCGTCATCACCAGAAGAACTGGAACAAATCATGAATAGGCTAGGCACGATGAGTACGGAATATGGTTTGAAAATAAATATGCAGAAAACCAAAGTCATCATCATCGATAGAATCAGAAACAACCAAGCAGAGATAAAAAACATGGCAAATTACGAAAATGTCAGGCAATTCAATTACTTAGGCTCCGTTATTACTAACAGTGGAGGATGAGAAGACGCGATCCGTCGACGTATTACAATGGCCAGATGGGCACAAATCTTACAATGCCATACCCTTCATTCAGTTCATTAACCTCGTCGTTTCTCCTGATTCTCCATGTGCTGTCTTCCTCTTGTACCGAGCCATACACTTTTCTCGGTATCTTTCTCTCGAATGTCCTGAGTTGGGCTTCTTCTTTTTTCGTCATAACTTACTACGTTACCCGTAGTAAGCCAGGTTTCACAACCATAGGTTACTACGGGTCTAATACACAACCATTTTGGTTCTTTTGTCTAATAATTTCGATGTCATAAATCTTTTATTAGCATAGTATGTACGATTTCCACTGGAAATCGTGCATTAATTTCGCTACTTACGTAATTCTTCTGATTGAGACCAATATATATATATATATATATATATATATATAAATATATATATATATATATATATATATATATATATTATAGACCATTAATAATACATCAATCTAACGTTAAAATTTATAAATAGTATTTTGAAAAATTCTAATCCACAGATAGTATATATTTAAGAAGTAATTGTGTCTATCTATCTAATTAGCCTTCTTCGTCCATCTTTGGACATAGGCCTCCCCAATCCTTTTCCAATCTTCTCTGTCTGTCGCTACAGTCATCCACCTAGAGCCCACGTGCTTCTTGATATCATCTGCCTATCTTATTTGGGGCCTTCCTCTGCTTCGTTTATATTCCCACGGTCTCCAACTTATAAGAATTTTGTTCCATCGGTCTTCTTTTTGTCTTATATTGTGTCCGGCAAATCTCCATTTCAATTTTGCAACTTCTTGTCTAACATCCCTCACTTTTGTTTTCTCTCTTATCCACTCGTTTCTCTTCTTATCCATTAGTCTTATGTGCAACATTTGTCTTTCCATTGCTCTTTGGGTTTTTATGATTTTGTCCATGTTTGCTTTGGTAAATATCCACGTTTGGGAGCCATACGTAAGAACAGGGAGTACGCATTGATTATATACTTTGGTCTTAAGATGCTGTGGATATCTTTTGTTTTTAAGAATGTAGCTTAGTTTGCCAAATACCGCCCATGCCAGTCTAACTCGTCTCTTGATCTCTGCTGTTTGGTTCTATTTGTTAAGTTTTATAGTTTGACCAAGATATATATAATCCTTAACTTGTTCTATTTCATCTTGTCCGATTCTCATTGTAATGTCTTCATCTGTATTTGTTATAGTTTTGGTCTTGCTGTAATTCATATTAAGGCCTATCTTTCCAGCTTCTACGTCCAGTTCTTTCATCATTTCAAATAATTCTTCTTTTTTATCGGTTATCAATACGATGTCATAGATGGTTCAAGCGTTGTCCACAAATTTTTATACCTTTTTTTTCCATTCTAATCTTTTAAAAGTATCTTCAAGAGCCTGATTGAAAAGATTCGGTGATATTGTATCACCCTGTCTCACGCCTCTACTTATTTGTAATGATTTTGTTCCTTCATATACTTTAATTGTTGTTTTGGCTTCCTTATATATATTGGTTATTAGTTCCGTATATCTGTGGTCAATTCGGCTGTTAATCAAAGAACTTTTCACTGCCCAATGTTCGACACTGTCGAAAGCCTTTTCGAAATCTATGAACGCCATATATAGAGGAATGTGGTATTCATTTGCTCGTTCTATAAGTATTTTCATACTTAGTAAATGGTCACTTGTGCTGAAACCCTTTCTAAAACCAGCTTGTTCTTTCGACTGGTATCCATCGAATTTTGTCGTCAATCTATTGGTTAAAATTTTTGTTAGGAGTTTATACATTACATTGAGGAGTGTTATAGGACGGTAGTTTTTATATCTGCTGTATCCCCTTTCTTGTGTAGGATAATGGTTACTGATTCCTTCCAGTTGTTTGGGATTCTTTTTTCTTTTAATATCCTGTTAAAAAGGGAATGTAGAGTATTAATTACCACTTTTCCACCATATTTCAGCATCTCTGTAGTTACTCCATCTTTTCCAGGCTATTTGTTTTGTTGTTCATTTCTTTCAATGCCTTCTTTATTTCTGATTTGCTTATTTCGGGCTGCAGCTCTGAGTTGACATTTTTTATTTTGACCTTAAGTTGGTTTTTAATTTCTTCTGGTGGTTCCTTTTTTGTTTTATATAATTCTGAGTAGAAATGGTGGATTATATTTATGATGTCATCTTTAACGTTTGTTTCTATTCCATTTACATCTTTTATTTTGTTTATTTCAAAATTACCTAATTTCGGCCTTAAGCATTTCATATTTTTGTTGTTTTGTATTACTTCTTCTATTTTTAGCGTAAAAAAAATAGAAGTAATTGTGTAAACCTTTAAATTTACTAACAAAAAAGACTGTAATTGGGCCTGAATCTTTTTATGGCGTACTTTTTACTTGGAAGCAGCTAAGTTTCTATAAACATACACATAGGTACACACTTAACACTTACAATCCGCGTTGCAATGTCATCGAATGTCTTTAAGGGTAGAAAAAATGGAATTAATGAAACAATTCGCTCAAACAATACGAAAAATTATAATAACCTATTTATTATTGTTTGTGCTCAATAATTGTAATACCTTTATTAATTTTAGGTTATGTTAGGTTAGGTTTTAGAAAATATGTTACGTTAAGACGTGAATGTGGTATCCAAACTACGTTTGAGATGTATGTTGATCAAAGGTAATATAAATTTAGTTACATCAATTAAACAATGTCTTTTGTTTCCGTATTTTAGCAAAACAAATCATTTAAAAAGAATTAGTACTCAATAAAAGTACGACTGCAAGCATTGATAACCCATACAGATTCATTTGCTGTAAGCTTTCTGACCATTCTCGTTCCTTCATGTCATCCATTTCCAATTATTTAATCACAAATTTTTTATAGTGAAAAAAGTGGTGTTATGTCTCCATAAATTGTGTATATATAACAGCAATCAACAAAACCTAGATATTAGCTAGCAGTAATAATAATAATTACTGAGTCAAGGAACGAGTTGATATTTGAAGAGAACGGAAAACCCAGGAAACAAGAATACATGAGCCCAGAGAAGCGTTGCTCAGTCTCTCGATTCTACTACAAAAATGCAGAGATCATAACTTGGACTGCTGGGTAACCTAGTAGACAACCTAGACCAGACTTAGAAATAAAAACAAGAATAGAAATGGCAATTTAGAGCAACTTTCCAAAAAATGAAGACTTGGCTAAGTGACCAAAGCTTCAGAATAGCAACCAGTCTCAGATTTATCAAATGCTTCGTATACTTCTTCTTGTTGTATGGAGTAGATTCTTTGACCATGAAAGATGGTACAATGAACAGTTTAAGTCCTTCAAATCTGACGTATCATTAAAATATCTGGATCACGTCACAAACGACGGAGTTCGAGAGGAATGAAAAAAGCAGAGATCTGTTAACATGAATCAAAATAAGAAAAACCTAGAAGATATCTCTCGACATCAGAAATATAAGCTCCCAAAACTAACCATAGAAATACAAATAGACACGTCTGGTCGTAGGTAGTATTCCTGATTAAAAAGCATCCCTTAATGGACAGAATTCGAATCTCATGTACACAAACTCAATTGCCAATCTCCACCTGTGAAGACGGCTCTTCAACAAGAGATCATTTGTGTATAGTTAAACATCAACTTTATTTTTGTTTCTGGGACTAACAAACAGTTCCTTTGTTTATCTATAATTTACCCTATTTCCCTAATTTTATTAAAAATTTGAACGCGAACTTTTTCTTGCTCCTCCTAACATACATCTCCTTCATCTTCTTTTATTGCATGTGGTGCTTGAACAACGTGCTTGTTTTTTATTTTGGGAACCATTGCTGTTACTATATCTGCTAATACCACTTGTTCTCTATCAATCTCATCGTTTAATAAATTATGAAATACTTCAAATAAACAATTAAATACATTTTTCACACAAGAAATTATTTTTAATAGATTTTCTACTGAGTACTACTAGTAGTGATTGCTTGAAAATATTACTTACATCTTTTATGGGCAACCTCAACTTCAGAATCTCAGCGAATCTCATGGTCACATCCTTCGGGACGTGGATCTTCACGAAATGTATTCTCTGGTTCTCTTCTCTCTCCAGTAAAAGTCCGGTAGACTCCAAATTGTGCTCGAACATGACTCTTTTGTCGACATCTTCCTGTTCACCTTGGTCGTCGTAAGCCAGGACGAAGTCGACGCTCAAGTCACTGCTTGAGAAATTTCTCCATCTCTGATGAACAAATAGAAGGTTAGGAATAAATATTAGTGAATAGAAATGTTTTGTATAGTAGTTTAAATAGTGATTGTTAAAATGCACAGTTATATTACTCATATTTATTATACGCTATGATTAATTAAATCTATTAACTATGATTTACTTAAATTTAAGTAAGGATCAGTTCAATTGATCCGACTAAGGTAAAAAAGCCGTTCCAAATAAAACAGCAGTAATGTGGGACAGACAATACATAATTAAAGTACAACGTATGTACGCTCACAACAAAGTACAAAATAGAAGCATGGATCTCGATTGACACGATGTACAAAAATCTAAAGACATTTTAACAGATAAAAATAACAAATCGTAAAATAAAAGCAGTGGCATTACCTTACTCTCAAACGCATACATATCCTTATACACTTTTTTGACGTGTTTTTACAAAAAAAAAAACAATTTTTTCTTAGAACATTCTTATTGTTGCATATTTTAGAACTGAAATAGTCTTACTAGTGTGATATCAACATGTAACCGTTAGTAAAACGCGATAAGTTCTATATTGATATAAAAATCGCGATAAGAGTGAATAAAAATTACTTATACTTATATAATAATAATTAGCAAGTTATAAGGATTGTTGTTGTTTATTTATCAATTAAATTAAAAACAATATTTAAATAGTACACATATAATCCGTACGACCGTCTTCCATTGTAACAAAATAAAAAAAAAAAACAAACAAAATTAATATGATCATAGGGTATATAATATTTAAATGGACAAAAATAAAATCGCCAATGAGAAAGAGACAAGAGAAGAAGTGATAATAATAAGATACTAATTAGAGGAATGATATCCGACAATCAGAATCAAGAAGACCTTAACAATAGAAAAATCGGGAAAACTGACCAAGGGCTCTCTTGATAGGGATTTTGCAAAATTAGCTTCAAAAATATGAGAGGAAGAGTAAACAAATAGAAGTTAGAGTCACTGTAAATTTAGTATTGAATTTAGCATAATAACAAGCAGACCTAAGACCAGGTATTGTATTAAATTAATAAATGGTCTGAGATGTTTAGATGAGGTATGTTGGAAGAGACTGGCCTGAGCCAAGATAGCAGAATATCTTCAAGTGAACATAACCTAACAACTTATATCGTCTTCTTGTGCTGTATTTTCTTTTTAAAGGCCTTGACGGTTTCTGCAAACAGTGAATTTCATAATATGATCATAGGGTATATAATATTTAAATGGACAAAAATAAAATCGCCAATGAGAAAGAGACAAGAGAAGAAGTGATAATAATAAGATACTAGTTAGAGGAATGTTATCTGACAATCAGAATCAAGAAGACCTTAACAATAGAAAAATCGGGAAAAGTGGCCACGGGCTCTCTTGATAGGGATTTTGCAAAATTAGCTTCAAAAATATGAGAGGAAGAGTAAACAAATAGAAGTTAGAGTCACTGTAAATTTAGTATTGAATTTAGCATAATAACAAGCAGACCTAGGACCAGGTATTGTATTAAATTAATAAATGGTCTGAGATGTTTAGACGAGGTATGTTGGAAGAGACTGGCCTGAGCCAAGATAGCAGAAGATCTTCAAGTTTCTTCTTCTTCTTCTTTCGTTTTATGGCCTCCACCTCTTAGGTACGTGGCTAGCTCATGTATTTATTTTTATTTTAATTATAGAAGGGAATTCTTCTCACAGAGATTCTGGAAATAACCATATTCCCTTAAACTATTATGGACAATTTATAATGGATATTCTAAAATAATTATATATGTCATTAATGATATAGATTTTTCTTGTTCCATCTATTAAGCTATGCAAGGTATATCTGGAATTTGGCATCTTGGACAGGACATCAGTGGTTAAAGGATAGGTTAGGTTGGGTATTTATTTATATTTTCCTTACATTTTAATTTGGAAAATATTGAAAAACTTACCAATCGTTTTCAAGGTTTTAGCATTGATATTGTGGAAAATATTTTGTACTGAAATGGGGGTTGGGCATCCATCTTTAATAAAAATTAATTACTATTAAACTGGGAATAAGCCACAATTAAAGATAAAAATACGTTTATTGACGTTTCAATTTCCAATTCGGAAATCGTTCTCAAAATACAAACAGTAAATTAAACAAATTTTGTTTTTTGTTACATAGTGAAGAATTCTTCTAATAATTTAATTTTATCTGACTCATTTATATTGACAATTCAGACATACATTATGCATTTTAAAGTAGACGACTTTAACATGATATTGCCAATATTGTTGAGTTGCGCTCCTGGGACGACTTTACTTATAAGATAGTTCATTCGATTACATGAAATCAATTTTAACTTGAGAATATCCATCAGAAAAAAATCATAACATGTAATTCGTCTTTAAAAAGACAAACACATGACATGATGACAGTAAAATTCTCCTGTTAGTGATTCCATAGTAAATTATGAGGGAAAAACCAGGAAAAAAACCTCATAATACTATCCCGACATTGTAAGTATTTGTTCGTGAATTTAGTTTACCTTCAACAAACATCAAATTTCTGATTTTATATGTTACGTTATTTAAAAAACATAAATGATGTATCCTCTGTATGTTACTGACTTACTAATAATGGTATTTTCTTATTAATAACTTCCTCTTTCAATATTGGTAACCAGATCCTACTACATTCTGCCGAGGAATTTGCGACACAATTGGCCTCATTTAGCATAATTAGAGCTGCTTCTTTGATTTTTCTTTTTTTACCATCCGTTTCTTTTAGGACTACATTTGAATTATTCCATTGAACCCTATGTTCATTATCCCATGCGTGTTTACAGATTTGAGATCTATCAAATTCTCTATTTTTAATATAAGATTGATGTTCGCTTATTCTAACATTTAATGGCCTTGATGATTCACCTAAATAAAACTGATCGCATTCACAAGGTATTTTATAAATGCAATTCTTTGTTCTTTCTTGTTCATCGAATTGGAAATTGAAACGTCAATAAACGTATTTTTATCTTTAATTGTGGCTTATTCCCAGTTTAATAGTAATTAATTTACAATGCCACAAGAAAATAGCTTCAGAACATTTTTAATAAGTTTTTGATATAAATCAAATAGTGGTGTCTTATTGACAGGACACTCTAGCAAGATGTGTATTATTCTTCCTATTTGACCACACTCTCAAAAAGGGAAATCAATACATTTAATTTTAAATACATGATCTGGCGCCAAACAATGTCCTTCCTGTTCGTAACCTAATAATTGTTGTCAGGTGTCTACGGTCTACAAAGTCAAACTTATGAAACCATGGTTTTATTGAGAATTCGCTTTGACATTGTTGATACCACTTTCCCTTTTGTTTAAACTGTTTAAGCCAATCAAGTTTAAATCCATTTATTAGTGTTTGAGTAAGAAATGAAAGATAGTCCATTTTATCAATTTTTATGTTAGCTGGGATGTTTAGGGTTCTACCTATATTCGCCAATTGATCTGCCACAGTATTCCCTTTTACTCCTGAGTGGCCTGGAATCCAGGCTATAATAATATCAAATCCTGCTTCATTTGCCTCAAGTATTAATCTTTTAGTTAAATTTACAATGTGGTTATTTGTTCCCCAACAGTTACTTTGTAATTTTTGGATTGCACTTTTTGCATCAGAGAATATTATTGCTTTTTTAATATTTTTTTCTAAGCAAACTTCTACTGCCTTATTAATGGCAATAATTTCAGCAGTGCATATTTGTATGTGATCATGTAGTCTAGATGCATAGTTATAATTTATTGATGGAATGTGAACTCCAAACCCTACTGCCCTTGAACTGGGTTCTAATGACCCATCTGTAAATATCCAAGTGAATTCTTCATAGATGGTTGAGAATTCATTAAGAAATTGTTGATTACTATATGTTTCTCCTTTTATGTTTTCGGAGAATACTGTTTTTATTCTTTCTATTTGATATTTTAGCTCAATCTGGTAACAGGACTTAATACTATCTTTAAATAATTGTTTAAAATCTTGATCAAATTTATTTTTAATGTAAATAAGATATGGTGTCTCTTTTAATTTCCACATTCCTATCTGATTATTGATTTTGAACTCTAGCTCAGACAATATTTCATTCAAGCGGTTTTCTATATCAGCTGAGATTTTAAGATAAAATTTAGCAGACAGGATTTTTCGTCTGATTTCTAATGATGTTTCTCCACTCTCAGCTAATAAGGCATTCGTAGGAGTAGATCTCATACAACCTGTGATAATCCTCAAAGCTTTAAATTGGATTTTGTCTAATATTACGAGGTTGGCTTTACTGCAGGGTTTTAGTACTGTACATGAGTAATCAAGGTGTGATCTTGTAATACCTTTATAAATTAACAGAAGTGAAATAGGGTCTGCCCCCCACCATGTGCCACATAATGCTCTCATTATATTCATTCCTTTTTGAGCTTTCGTTTCAATATTTTTAATGTTTTCTGTCCAGTTTAAAGAATTATTAAAAACTAATCCTAAATATTTAATAGAATTTTTGATAGGAATGATCTGTCCATCTATTGTTAAAGGTATGTTATTTATTGTGCTCCTCATATTACTAAATATCATTGCTGATCTTCAAACATTCTATTACTAAATATCTTCAAGTGTCTAAGTCTACAAGTAACACGATCATAACCTAACAACTTATATCGTCTTCTTGTGCTGTATTTTCTTTTTAAAGGCCTTGACGGTTTCTGCAAACAGTGAATTTCATAAACAAACAATAAACTTTAGCTTCTGTAACAATTAACGTCAAAATCATATGTCATCATGACTTAAGAACAAAAATAGTTTAAAATATGAATTTATCAAATTTACAACGGCTTTTTTCAAACTATTCCACACAATCATTTTCCACCAAAAATTTTTCGACAGAATCTACAAGATCTTCGATCCAAGTATGTCTTTTGAACGCCCATACACCTCTGGGAAAAATGACCAGTTTCCTCCTCAAGCAAAATCCAATAGTATCAAAAGTAAAACTTCAAGGGGACAGAAAAGTTACAAATTTAGCTGAAGTATTAAATCAGATTGACACAAAATGTCGAGTGGAGCCTTATCCCCACGTTAAAGATCTTCCGAAATCCTTAATGGGAGCAGACATTGTGTTACTTCTATCAAGTCAAGTATGGCCTCAAGACACACCCATCGGGAAGCGAATTCTTGGAGAAAGTCAACGAGTGTATGACGTTATCAAAGAATGTACCTTACAAGCTCCTAAAGCGTTAGTCGTCGTAGCTGTTCCTCCAGTATCAGTATTTACGCCTTTCGTCGCTAATGTGTTCAAACAGTCTCATTTTTACCATCCTGGTAAGATAGTTGGTTCAGCTGCAATGGCACAGATTACTATTAATAGTCTAGTTGGTAGATATCATGATATGAATCCATTTATAACCCAGGTACCAATCATAGGCGGTCCAGATATAGATGTTGCGGTACCACTACTAAGCAGAGCTAAGCCAGTGCCTGTACCTGCCAGATGTACTAACATTTTGATGTCAAAATTCAGGCAAGTAGAGCTAGAGTCATTTCCAAAAATACATTGCAAGGAAAACTGTACTGAATATCATCCAATTAGTGAAGCGTATGCTCTAAATAATATGATTGTAACACTAGGTTCAGGTATACTAGAAGATCCAAAAGCTGTCTATAACGCCTTTGTAAGAATGAACCTGGTTTCCAGTTGTCAGTATCTGGTATCGCTGCTGCAATTTTCAAAAGAGGGAGTTGTGCATAATTTTGGATTGCCAACACTGACGAATTTCGAACTGGGTATGTTGGAACGGGCAATTACATTAATAAAACTACGAGAGGAAATAGCGACGGAACTCGTTAGTTACTGCGAGGGAAAATGTAAAACGCCAACTATGAAACGAGCTGGACTTAATTGATATTTGTAATGTAAAAAAGTTAACAAATAAAAAGATTTTTCTATCCGGTGTGAATAAAACACTATACCGCATGGCGCCATGTATGACCGCAAGGTACCTCATTATATATTATCTCTTATATTATAATCTTCTACTTCCTCTATATAAGCAATTCTGCTTGTTCATTGGCGGATTAATACCTCTATAGAAAATTGTTACTCCACCTTTTGCGCGATCGTCCGGTACTTTTTCTGCCATTGGTGACTTATTGCCATCTCTTACTATTTTGACGGTACGGATCTCCTCCATTCAGCTTATGTGGTTATTCTATTTTGTGTCCATTCATTTATACACTGTATGTATGAAGAAAATAAGGCACATCAAGGAACACGCTTTCGAATACTTCCCGTTGTTTTAAGAAATGGAAGTAGGGAGGTCACTACATTTGCCTTTCTAGATGAAGGGTCTTCCGTTACTTTGTTAGAAGAAAGTATTGCTAAAAAGCTAAATATAATGGAAGAGCCAGAACAACTTTGCTTAAAATGGACTTCAAACCAACAACGCTTAGAAGATGCGTCAGAAAAAGTATTCTTTTCTATTTCTGGTGATTATAATGGGGCCAAAGAATTTGACCACCGACCAGCCAGAACAGTAAGAAAATTAGGCCTTCCAAAACAAACTCTCGACGCAAAGGCAATTAAAGAAAGCTTTCCCTATTTAAAAAACTTGCCTTTCAAATCATATAAGAACGCTGTTCCTCAGATCTTGATAGGCTTAGATAACTGGGACTTAACGTTACCACTTCGAGTGAAGGAAGGTCTAGAACTTCAACCGATAGCTGCAAAGTCCAGGTTAGGTTGGACTATTTTTGCAATGTTTTCAAATAATGATGTATAATTAATCTACACTTACCACATTTGCGAATGTAGTTCTAAAAGCATTACTAACCAAGAACTCTTTAATACTGTAAAAGACTTCTTTTCAGTTGAAAGCCTCGGAGTTCAAAATAAACCGTCTGTTTCCAAAAACTTAGATAAGGCTATTCGTATACAAGAAAGCACCCTAGTTCAAATTGGTAACCAATATAAAATTGGATTACTCTGGAAATATGACAACTTGAAACTCTATAATAGTATACCCATGGCTATTCAAAGACTGGAGTGTATAGAGAGAAAAATTAAGAAAAATCCAAAACTAGGTATCAAAATTAATCAACAAATTCAAGATTTTCTAGAAAAGGAAGATATTAGAAAACTGTCAGAACAAGAACTCTTACAGCATCAAGAAAAAACATGGTATCTTCCCATATTTCCGGCATTTAATCCTAACAAACCTGACAAACTCAGATTAGTTTGGGATGCAGCAGCAACCGTACAGGGAATATCCTTAAATTCCATGTTATTAAAAGGAGATGACCAACTTGCTTCTCTATTAGGCGTCCTCCTACGATTTCGTGAAAGAAAGATTGGCTTTTCTGGAGACATCAAGGAAATGTTTCTTCGTGTAGGTATAATAGAAGAAGATCAACATGCACAACGATTCTTGTGGCTCAATGGTAGCTCTGATAATCCTTTGGAAGTCTACGTCATGACTGTGATGACCTTCGGAGCTACCTGCTCACCCAGTTGTGCACAATTTGTTAAAAACGCTAATGCGAAGAAACTTAGTGTAGAATATACTAGAGCTGTTAATTCCATAGTAAATAATCATTATGTCGATGATCTCTTAGAATCACCAGACACTGAGGATGAAGCTATCCAATTAGCAAAAGAAATTGCCTTAATTCACGCCAGCGGAAATTTTGAAATAAGAAACTCTGAAAAATTAATGAAAATCATGAACACCACTCACGGAAATAACGAAGAAGTCAACCTAGATCTAGGGAACAATAAGAGCATGGAGAAGGTTCTAGGAATGTATTGGGATTTAAAGGGAGATAATTTTATTTTCAATTTAAAATGTAATAAAGGAAACAAAGATGTTTTAAGTGGATTAAGAAAGCCAACAAAGCGAGAAATTTTACAAATCTTAATGTCTATATATGACCCTTTAGGTTTGTTAGCAAACTTTTTGATTTATGTGAAGATCCTTTTACAGGAAATATGGAGGAGTAACATTACTTGGGATCAACCAATAACCAATGAACAGTTTCAAAAATGGCTTGTTTGGTTGAAACAGCTTCCAGAAATAGAGAAGGTTTCAATTCCAAGGTACTTTTTTAATAAACTCGAAAACTGGAAGAATACCAATACGCAAATGCACATATTTGTAGATGCCAGCGAACACGCAAGTGCTTGTGTGGCATATCTAAGAATAATGAAAAAAGATGTCATAGAGTGTACTTTGATTGGAGGGAAAACACATGTAGCACCATTAAAACCACAAACTATTCCTCGACTGGAACGTAATGGTGCAGTAATGGGTTCAAGGTTTGCTAAAAACCTTTGTCAACATCTTTCCATACCTGTGCACAACATTGTTTATTGGACAGATTCTTCAACAGTTTTAAGCTGGTTAAGAAATGAAGACCCAAGAAAATTCTTATCTCTTATCTCTGCCGTATCCAGTAGCCTTTGCATTGCGGCTGTGTCGGGTCTTGTTTCTGAGGTATATGTCATTATTGGTCTTACACTGGCTTTATAAATTCTTGACTTCATCTCAGTGTTAATATGTCTGTTTCGCCATATAGTGTTATTAAGACATCCTGTCAGTCTATTTGCTTTTTGTAGTTGATCTCTCACTTCTTTGTCCAGGTTTCCATAGCTATAGAAAATGTCACACTGAGAGTGCAGTACGGGTAAGATACGGCAATGCTTTTCTTATGGAGAATAAACGCGCAGGGTTGTCGGTTTTCTCCAGCTGTTGATTGCTCATTGTCTCATAGGACCGGCTTGGATAAAATGCATCTGCCGGCAGTACGAGTAAAATATTTTATATCATGTATACGTATACAGTAGAATAAAAAGGCATTGATGAGTTATTGACAACGAAAACTATGAATTTTGCATATAAAACGTCAACATGAGATATACAATTGAATCATGTTCATAAGAGTAACATTTGAACACCTCTTTACAAGAACAACATACAATAACTGTAGTTTTAATGTTTTACATAAAATAGAAAAAACCTACATAATTTCTAGGAAAGAATTTGGAAACTTGGAAATGATATTATTTATAGATATTATATATAATATTCAAATTTCCAATTCTTTCATAGAAATTAGATTTTTTCTATTGTATGTAAAATATTAAAAATACAGTTATGTTGTTTCTATAAATAGGTCTTCATGTCTTTTGTAAAACTTCTGCTACAAATTACCATCATTAACATAATCACCTAAATATGGCCATAAACTTGTTTGTCATAATTAGTATTTGATAAACTCCAAGCTTTCCCTATTTCACCCCTACCCATCCTAAGGATGGGTAGGGGGTGAAAGTGCTTTTGGAAAACGAAACTACACTTCAAAATTTAGTCCAAGTTTCAACAGAGAGCATGGAGTCCCATAAGTTTAAATCCGATGAATTATTTAACGGTTGCGCTAAACTCGTAGTGTTAAATGTGTTGTGTTTTTTGCAATATACGGAACAACTTAATGTAAGTGCTGCTGTAAGACGTACTTCGTTGATGACTGGTGTTAGCGAAAGAAGCATTTACAATTTCAAAAAAAAGAAAAAGAACAGAGTGGAACGTTGAAATCGCCAAAAAAACGTAAAAAACGAGTGTATCAATCAAATTCTAGAATATTCACATATGACGAGGGTGTAAGAAGTATTCTACGGAGAATTGTTCATTGTGAATTTTTCATGAAAAATTTGCCGCCATTCTTAAAGCATATACATAACTTCATACAAGGTAATGAGAATATATAGCCGTTGTCTCTTTCTACTTTATACAGACTTCTGAAAGATATTGGATTTGTTTATAAGAAACGTGGCCGAAAAAGCATCATGGTGGAGCGAGAGGATATTATTCATTGGCGCCATAATTATTTGAGAACTATACGACGTTTGCGAAAAGACTATTGCAATATCATATATTTGGACGAATCGTGGGTTAATGTTAACCAATCTATAAATTACGAATGGTGCGATACTACGATACAAAACAGTCGTGATGCTTTTCTCAAAGGTTTAAGTACTGGCTTAAAAGCACCTACTAAACGAGGTCCACGATATGTTTTATTGCATGCAGATTTTTCAGGTTTCCTTCCTGGCACACAGCGTGTTTTTCTGGCAAAGAAAAATGATGGCGACTATCACGATGAAATGGATGCCGCATATTTTGAGTCGTGGTTTAAGGAGACATTAATATCAAATTTACCAAATAATGGTCGCAGGAATGTCATTGTAATGGACAATGCATCGTACCACTCCCGTAAAGAGAGATTCCCTAACAATTCCTGGAATAAAGCTGCAATCAAGGAATGGCTAGTGGAAAGACATTTTTTTCGAGGAGTGTTATTTGAAATCCGAGCTATTAGAAGCAGCGCGTGCTTTTAAAGATCAATACGATAAGTATCATCTTGATGAGTATGCTTCACAACATAATGTTTATATTTTAAGGCTTCCTCCATATCACTGCGAATTGAATCCTATAGAAATGGTGTGGAACCAAGTTAAGCGATATGTAGGTACCCAAATGCATTTACCAGTCCAATCAGAGTATGGGCTTTTTGGATATTGGGCTGGGTGCACGGAAATCGAGTACCCGGAGGTTCCACCCTGTATATTTATAGCTATCAAGAAATGTAATTTAAAATATATTTGTTAGTTTAATAAAGTATAAATATAATACAATGTTAAATAACTTACACTATAAACCTTATACCTGCTCATCTGGTCAAGTGTGGGCAAGAAAAACTATTATCCCATATGGAATAACACAAGGTTTCGCTGAAAACGACCAGGTTGCTATGCCAAGGATCTAGGTAAACTCATGATAAGTGTAAAAAATGCGATACTGCATTATGTTTTAACAAGTACAAAAACTGCACTTTAGATTTCTACATAAAAAATTCATAGTAGGTGTTAA